ATGAGGCTGTTGGACCCTCCGTTACCCATGAGTGCGGTACCGTAAAAAGCAACGTTCACGGCGCATTAGAAGCTCAAAATCATCGTGACTGCACTACCTACCCCTAAGAGTAACCTGATTCGCCTACCGTATGACCCAGAGATGGCTGGGGGTTCTAGGTGCTGACTCGTGGTTCGCAAGAGCATCTAACACGTAAGGGTGGCTACAGACACCCCTACGTGTACGACACAGGAGCCAGGACACGTAGGTATGTCCCGGTGAGTTTATGAGGGCATAACTTAGGGGCAAGTATGCGACGGAGGCATAGAATTCCGAAGTCCTTCCATGTAACAGCTAGTCCTCTCCTCTCTCGCTCCCTCTTCCTGTCCACTGGCTCTATCCATCTCTCTCGCACCCTCGTCATACTCCCACGCTCATTGTTACTATACAGTGGCTTACGCACTCGTGTCTCGTGGATGTGCTACGTAAACGGCCCACGGAGACTTGGATGCACCCGGATACGTAGGTACCTACTGTACCGATGTGCAGATACGTCCCCGGGACGCGTGTACCTATAGGAGCATAGATACTGGGAAAGGGACAGAGACGCAGGGTGACTATGGAACAACCCCATTCACGACACGCGGGATCCAGTTCCGCTCTACCCCATCCTAGTTTCGCAACAAACAAAAGCTAATGCACTTCTGCCAGATAACTGGCGGCACCTTCCATGCTGTTCGCCATCCTTCTGTGATATAACCATCCCCACGGTAGAAGATATACCTATATAGGTACAAGGGTGGCAGGGTTAGCTGAGACCGGTGTCCCTTGAAATAGAAATTTTTATTCCGTATAGAATTTCTTATGACGGTATCTTTCTCCCTTTCTTCATCTCCCTATTTCTCTCCGCGATACTTAAGCTTACATTTCACTCAGGAGGTTTGAAAAACAATCTGTATATCTAACCTATACGTCGATGTATAGGGTGTCAAGGTTATCATGTTTTCCCATACCTTTAGCATTGCTTTTCTCTCCTCTCAGTTTAGGTAATTCCATCCCTCGCCAATCCGAGCTCTTTTTTTTTTTCTATCCAAGGGATGTTGCTCGCAACCTACCATTCGAGGGTTCATTCCGCGGGTGACGTAGCCAGTGCCATTTTTCATCCGTACTGATCGAGCGCTCCAAAGCCGACTCTAAGTGCGTATTACGAGGTGATTAATTTTACCCCGTATAGCCCTTTCCAACTTCGACAGCCAGGCTGCAGGATTTCAACCATCACTTCCGCGTGCCGTTATCACCGGCACCTACCCCTCTGCATCCATACTCCCTTTTCCTCTCTCTCTCTCTCTCTCTCTCAGATACCTCAAACCAAGCCCTACGTACACCCAAGGCCCTCCCTGGCTTTACATTTAAATCGATACCACTCACTCTGCGCGTAAATCCCCCGTGCACGTTTACACAGTGGCTACCGTAATTGAGAAAGGAGGTAAAACTGCCTGCCAGAAGGATGCTGGAGAGACAGAAGCCTGATGAGGGGGTTGGTCCCGAGAAAATTTCACCGTGTTTCCCAAGATACTCGCCCTATCTCACCAACGGAAACAACATCCCCTTCGACGTTGAACTTTCCGTCCCAATTAAATCCTGACACGATGATTTCGATGGAGAAGCCCTTCCCGTTCCACGTATACTTGTTGGCCTTTGGAATCTCGGGAACACGACGTGCGACCTCATAAAAGTTTGAGAGCATCCCTTAATGCGGTATTCGCATAGGAGGAAACTCCCTGTAGTGGCTCGGCGTTTGGTCGCTCTCAGTGTGTAAGAGAGAGACAGAGAGCTAGAGAAGGAAAAAATGTCATAACGCTCACTGCTTCACGACAAGTCGTTACGCCACGCCGCTTTTCTTAACGCTTCAGACTACTCTTGCTTTGCCTCAACATTCTCTCTTCCTCTCCCCTTATTCTCCCTCTACTCTTTTTCTTTCTCTCCGCGTCCTCTCAAGACACTCTCTTACCTTCTTTTAACCTACCACCTTATCACACACACCCCTGCCCCTCTCGCCCCACTCTTTCTCATTCTCCCTGTCACGGCTACGAATCTTCCCGGCGACGAGATAACGGTCTAGAAGCAAGATGATACACGGTGACAACTGGAAGAATCACGATCCTTAGGATGATAACCAGGGTCCAGCTGCATAAAATAAGATCAGGCTGATTCCAATAGGCCCGTCGTTCCTGTGCCTACGATTACATGCTACAGACATATCCGTTAGCAGTAGCTAGGCTATACCTATAACCCTGAAGATTTAAGCCGTGGCAGCTTCTTGGCTGGTTCCGTTCGGCCGCCTTATTTACGTCGCGATAAAATTAATCTCCGGGCGCGAAGAAGCAACAAACTGTCTCGTTTAAATATCGCCTTAATCTCTCGGGTAGCCTGAGTCCACGAGGCTGAGACTATCTCTATGTACGTACGTAGCTCTCTGGTGCTGCGACATAGCAAGAAATGCAAACTTCCTAGGTGGCTCACAGTTACCCCTGTCTCTCTATGCTTCTACCTATATACGGATATCCGTATACTTTTCGAGACAGCGAGATAAATATCCGCGGATTTGAGACTCTCCATAAAAGGCTGGATTATCCCTGGCGAAAACTAATTAGCCTGAACCCGTTGAACCCAAAGCTTCTCCATCCTCTACAAGCTGTCCATATCCAAGAACAAAAACTGGAATCGCATTACCGTGCGGGATCGCACGGAAACCGTCCCATCCTATCTAAATAGTTCCTACCATAAATTCAAAGGATAAACGTACAGTACCAAAGTACCAGTTACCTGTCTAAGAATCAGGCACGGGGTTTCTGGCGAGGCTATGATAATAATTCAAAGGTCTCCTCGTATAACTTCTTAAACCTATAATCCAATGTCTATCGGTATGATCATCATTTTTAGATATACGTGTGTGTGTGTGTATATATATATATATATATATATATATATGTCATAGGTACATTTCTCCTACCATCACGCTCCAATTCCTCGAGTATCCGTAGATCGGTCTTCATCGCGTTAAATGACCAGGAGACCAAAGCGACTGTGAGCGCGTCATTTCGCAAAATTTCGCCTGACTAGGTTCGTCCCTGGGGTGGAAATGTCGCGCCTTACGTGGACGCTTTAGTAAGGCTACGTTATTCTTACGGGCGACTAGCTCAGCCTGTACCTATACTGTATCACCCCGGTATACTGTACCGGTATCTACCACAATCTTCACCCTCTAGAGCAGCGAGCGGCACCGCCAACGCTAGACGATACTACCGCCGGGCGTTACCGTCCCTAAGCATCAACTACCCTTAGCCGCGGAGGCAAACGGGTAAGAGCGACTTAAGACGGACTTACTTCCACGAAGATTAAGCTTAAGTCTCTTGCAACAAAGTACCGCATTGTCTTGGTCTTATCTCAGCAATTGACTGAGTTGCGTGGTGTGTATCGTTGCGTGTGCGCAGCGACGCTGCGCCTCTAACGGCGTCGGACTAGAAAGAGGCCGTATTTACGGTGGCGGTTACTCGCGCAAGAAATGTCCTGGTACTTTTCCACGGGCTGAGACTCGACGGCAGATAGGGGCACTGACATAAGTAAGCAGGGCCAAGTGGCGATTACGTACAGTGGTTCCTTTGTGGGGGGGACGAGGAATGAGAGGGAGGGAGAGGGTAAAAATAAGGGACGGAGGTAAGGTCTGTTCGTTGAAAGCGATGAGCGAACGTTACGCGAAGGACAGAAACTAATTATCTTAAAATGCGTTAGGGACCTTATGTTAAGACCAAGTACCCTCGGCCTAAGTTATGCCAGACGTTATGAGAAAAAATTCATGGCCGCTATTCGCGTACGAATAGGGGGTGTCACGGACAGCACAACCCTATAATCCGTTCACACTTATTTTTTTTTAAATTTACTTGTGTGCAGAGTCTTTTATGGGCTTCTCAATCTTGTACTGGTTGAATGATGCTCTTTCAATGGATTCTTCTTGTATATTCGTCTTTTTTTGTTCTTCCTACGTTCACTCGTTTAACTAGTGGAATAACGAGATAATACTTTATTCAAGCGCTGTGCAGTTACTACGTCACGCTGTTCAGTGGATTTGCCTTTTCATGAATAGGGATTCGGTAAGGCGGCGAGGAACTTTAAAATTATCGATATCGAAGTTCGTTTCTAAAAGATTAGTAGCTCTTATTGCTTCTATTATACTGTATATCTGGAGTGCAAACTTACTTTAATAATCTAAGTGAAGCTGACGAAGAAAAGTCGTCAGTCTAGTTATCATCGAAAAGGCGATTCTGCTGCCATCTAGGTGGGAACGTTGGTACTTATTTATTTTTATTCCAGTACTCTTCTCGGAAACGAAATTATTACTTGAAATATGACTTTTTTTTTATTTGGTATAATATTCTTTATGTATAATTTTGAAAAATTCGACGATCCACAGAGACTATATTTTGTATACGGTGTTAAGTAATTATGTATATATGTACATTTTTCATTAGTTCAATACAAATTCCTAAACGCTAGAGATACCTAAGAATAAGTGTAACAAGAGTCACCCTATCGCAAATACTATAGGAAATGACGACGTAAGAGTGCCTTGAGAAGAAAAGATATTACGCAAATCTTATAGCATTAATTCTTTTGAAATCTAATCCAGGAGTAACCCAAAAAGGACATACTCTATTCACCCGATGTCGCGGAAGAAAAGGCACTCAGACTAGGGTAGTTGAGGACATTGGCATGGAACTGACGATGCCTGGGGAAAGGGGTGCTTAAAGCGATTAAGGGTGGCCCGTTAAGCGTATAACGACGGAAGGTTCCGCGGAGGAGATAATTAAAAAAGTAATGGGTAACCCGAAACCACCCCCGACGGCTCACCGAAAATAAAGTACGGTTAGGTTGCCAGGTTGCCCTGTTACGCAGAGTATGCGTTGCGAAAGAGCTGACGGTGGGGATGAAAAAAATACAAATTACAGAAACGCCTGACACAATTCGAATCTCCATGTTTCGCTCCTTTATTCCGCATTATATTACATGTATTTATAAGATATCAACGCGAGCAATCTATCCCGCACTTGGAGCACCATATTCGTGACTAATGCACAACACACATTCATTCCTCAATCTTACACTCTTATTATCATACGTAAACTCTATTAAATTCGCCATCTACGTCTCTATACACTATGTTACAGCATTTAGTTATTTTTTTTTCAAGTAATGAAATTGTTTAGCAAGCCTTTTCATTTTATCTTTAAAAAAATTCCCTAGGATGCTCCTAGTTACTCTTGTGCAATACGTGAAAATATGTACCTGATGGGCGGTAGCTCAGAGTTACAAAGAATTGACTGCGGTGGTGGAATCTAAAAATATTCGTAAGACCAGGCGAAAAGCATCGAGACCCTTCGTTAAAAGTTCTCGAAGACTCTCTACGTCAGCGTCCTTATTTGTTAGGACGTTCCTAATGGCTAACGTGAAGTTGCCGAACTTTTCCGAAAAATTCTCTGAATTTTCTTTTCTTCATATTCGCCGAATTCGTGACGCTTAAATCAGTCTGTCGTTCGGGTATGGATTAAGATTCACTGTCCTTCGTACCTTCTCATCCTTGCGCGCATTCGAATTACTCCTGTGCTTCCTTCTCGGTGGAGTAGGGAGATTGACTTTCTGATCCTGCGACTCGCCAAGATCCACTTTGTGAAGCCTACTCGGTTTTTCTGGAGGTTCGTCGAAAGGATTTGTACTGATTTGAGAATCTTTAGAGTCATTGCTCTCCAAAATGTGTACAGCTTCCTCAAATGGATTTCCAGGAGTATTGTTCATAATTTTATCAAGCATCTTTGCAGCTATTTTCTTCTCAAGAATTTCTGACTGTTCGACAGAATTCTTAATTTTCGAGACATTACCATTTCTCAGATCCATCTCCACCATTTTTGATTCTTCCCCATTAGAAGGTGTCACTTCCTGTTTCGAATCAGATAGTATCTGCTCTAAAGATATTGGACGATTCGTTGAGGTATTTTTTTTATCCCATTCTGAGGTAGACTCGGCAGCTTTCGTAAGGGTGTCTTTTATTCCCTCAGGATATTTATCCTTCTCCACAGGTACAATTTCGGGTTCGATTGGTTGCTCGACAGATTTACCGGATTCGGAATGTAATAATTGGCACGTGACTTCTTCCGCGTCATCCACTTCCGCTTGTTGGTCTTCCTTCTCAAGCATGTCCGACAGAGCTGCTTCCAATTCAGTAAGACTAGGTGTCATAGAACTTAAGTTACTGTCTTCGCCAGTTTTTTCTTCCTTCAGGACTTTCAAAAGAATCGAGTGATCGTTATCCTGAATTTCTGCCTTGATTTTTGGCTCTGGACTAGGAGGCGGTGTCTTCGAGGTCTTCGATTCCGTGGAATCTTCCGAATCCTTGGTCATCTTGTTCTGGACATCCTTGGCGAGTTTCTCCTCGAAGAAATCTTCTACGTCCAGGAGCATCTCCTGGGGCAGGGACTCGTCGGATATCGTCCTGGAGAGCTTGCTGATCGAAGATTGTGATCTGATGTCCATAGCCAATTCCTTTTCTTCATAACCATCAAACGGCTCGCTCTCATTGGACAACGTCCGCCGCAGGATCTTCTCTGATTGGTGCTTTCCACCCGATGAGTCGATCGTATCTGAAAATAGAACGTGCCACGTGAAATCCTCACGTAGTCAAATAGTAGCATCCTTGATCGGTTTGTTATATCTTATACTCACTGGAGGTCCCACCAAAACCCTCATCAGCCTCGAAGAAGATGTCGCAGTGTAGCGGTGAGCTCCTAGTGCCATCGGCAAATAAATATGGCTCTGATTCGAAATCGTTCTTCGCATCATTTTTTGATTGTGGTCTAGCAGGTCTGAATCCTGGTGTATTCGTATACTCCTCTTCGACAGTGGGGGAATCGAAGAATCTTACGGATCTAGGTAAAAATAGGATTTCCTATATATACCGGAGAAAAATAAGACGGATAAAACTATTCACCTTTCCTGTCCCAGGAACCAGTCGTCCAGGGCGGTCGGAGACTTCCTGGCATCGACCCCAGCTAATTTAGCTGGCATCGAGATTTTTCGTTTAGCTTCACCCTTCAGCGCAGACTTCAGTGCGGCTGCAGACTTCAGCGCATTAAAGGATGCACTTCTGGGAATTCCAGTACTGGATGATTCCACCTCACCCTCATTTCCTTCTTCGACTTCCTTTTTTGTATCTTGCACCATCTCTACAGTACCTTTAGACTCGTCACTTCTCTTCGCGGACTCTATACTCTCTTCGCCAATGTGAAACTTCGGTGTGCTCACCTGTAACCGACATTGTAATCCTTAATTATCTGTCTCAAAGGGAAATCCGATATCGTATAGATACCAAAGACGATCCTATTATGTCACCTTTCTTTCACGAAGTCGAGAATTTGGTTCGAACGGCGGCTGACCGTCGTGTTCGTCGTGTTCTGCAATTCCCAAATCATAATCATCTAAACCTCCCCAGACATCCTCATCCGAACTGTAACCCTCGTTGTTCAACTTGTCAAGGATCTGATGTGGCTGCAGACTTCCAAAGCTCTTGCTACGAGTCACATAATTTTCGAGTCGCTCAGCCGTTTTCTTTAGACAGATATAATGTAATAAATAACAAGGACTCGTAATAAAAATATTACTTAGACATTGGTCAATTACAAAAATTAATTATAAATACTTGTGGAAACGAAGATAATATTGACTGCACTGGAAGTGATCCTGTACTGGCATATCTATGAGGTTTCTTAAGCAAGTCCTTATCCGTAACTTCCGCATCATTCGCCCCTGCAGCATCGTTGATCCTGCTCTTCTCGACCTCGTGCTTAACGACCTCGAGTTCATCGTAATTTGGTAAACTGACGGTGCTGTGATTCTTGGGTCTTCCAGGTAATTCGAGTTTGTCTTTGTTATCGGCAGACTCTGTTATCAACATCCTGAGGTCCCTAGTGGTTTCTCTATCGGTTCGATTGGGAGTCGAGGTAACCTGGCTACTTTGTATATTTGAGAACTCCTCATACTCCGCATCGCGTATCTTGTGATGTCCCTTGGGTTCCTTAGCCGGTTGCTTGGCATCAGAACTCCTGTTGGTTCTTCGGGCGGAAACCACCACGCTCGGTATAATCCTTCCTGTTCCGTTAACCTGCGTCAGGAGTAGGAAATCACGTCTTTGAGTAATTTCCTTTGTTATTTCTTTTTCCTTCGCCTAACACGGATCAACTAAAAACATGATTTTCCTCTAAGGAAGATGACTTATCCCATGGGAATCCTTGTGTATAGGATACTATGTATTCATATATACGTAGGACATGAAATGTCATATCACGAAGGCGATGAAAATAGAGGAGAAGAAAAAGCAAGTGGTAAAAGAAGAAAAACAGCAAAGGGCTTTCCCGTTACAATGTTTAAAATTTGTTCACCTTATGCTCGTATAGATCCTTTCCCTTTTTCGAATCATCCCCTGTCCCTGTAGACGATCCAGATTTATTCGTGCCACTTCGGGACACTTTGGATACTTCATCCCGAGCATAATTGCTCTTCGCTTTTGGAGACTTCACCGAGGAATAAAGTGGTTCAGACTTCGTATCCCTGGTAGAGTTTAGGGATGGGTTCCTATGGGTTTGAGGAATTTCGTCAGGTTTCGGCGGCAGAGGTCTGCCCTTGTTTTTCCGACGATTTCTCGGGGGTGGCACAGGAGTTACATTCTTCAAATTCGAGCCTAGAATCAATACCAATAATATCAAACCCATGAGACAAAATAGATCAGGTTCTTTGTGAAAAGTTGTAACTCACAGCTTGTAGCGGGGGCTGTGGTTGGATAAAGATTAGTATCAGCTGTAATATTGGTAAGAACTGAACCAGCAGTTGGTGTACTTGGTACTTCTAAGTTGACATCCACCCAATCACTGGGTTGAAATGGTCTATCGACTGAGTCGATACTACAACCCCTCGTTAAGGCCTCTCTAGGGGGTGATCCGGCATAGCCTATTTCAGAACTGGAAAAAAAACTGCCAATCCTTGCCATCCGATCTCTCATAATTCCTTACAACAATATTAAACTACACAATAATATTATGACATTCAATCGTTAAATAATTTTTACAATTATATATATGTGTATAGGTGTATGTCATATCGTGCACATTATAGTGCATTAATTAAAATATATATATAGACACCTACTTTATCTTCAACGGTAATGACCTGACTCAGCAAGTAAACAAGAAATTAAACCAGTTTATCGTATTCACCCTAATTGCGACAGGACTTTCGATAAATATGTCAGAGGACGATCCATGGGAAAACGAAATACGCATGTGTCACTTCGTATCCCTAACTTTCCACAAGACCGTAGTCACGCAATAGTAATGCGACGTACTTTTATAATTCGGCTTTTATAAATTGCCTATAATACCATTATGCTCAACAGTATAGTATATTTGCAATAACGTAGAGGCAGAATTTATATAAAAATGGCTCAGTTTTCACTAGTAAAAAAAAATATTTTATGATTTATTTATAATTTTACACAAGACTCATTTAAACGTACGTATTAGCCAATCGTATTCGCGATCAAAAAATATACGCGCTTTCGGAATGTTGATCGTCGATCACCAGCTGACCGTAAAAAGGTATCAGCCACAGCATTCATTTTGCGTAGGACGGATGTGCGTTGTATAAAGTCAACCCACGCTGTTATGTTATACATATTATATACATAAAATATACCAGTAGAAAGTGTCCTTGGCGAAAACTGAGCCTAAGCCGAGGATATCGGTTTGACAATGGACTTGAATTCTTTTGTAGGAAATTGCAAATATCGAATGACAGGTATGAGTCTATTGACAAGTAAGAAAGTTATCGGTCGATGCTCGTGTATAACCTGAGGAACTGAATTGTGAATAAGGTGCGTTCATGTTACGCATGGTCGACGCGAGAATGTGACCATTTAAGGCCGAGTCCAGCGACGCCATAATGTTTTCTATAGTCGCCTACATTATTCATAGTCCTTGGACCATAAATTTCTACAAATCTACAGTAATAGAAAATCAATTGAGAATAATATTTCTAGACCATTACACGATATACCCTGTACAGAATAATTTCATATTGAGATCAACTTCCAGATTTTATTTATACCGCAATCACCTCATGCGAGTGGATCAATTAATTATGTATACCTGGTGACTCTTTGCGTCGCACCACCAAGCACCGATCCCTCCTCCTTCAAGCCAGGATAAATCTGTAAACAATTATAAACCGTGTTTCAGCCACTTATCAATTAACATTCCCAATCATAGTAAATAAAATACGATTTTACCCTGTGAGTTATATACCCATGGATAATATTCTCTTAGCCCAGATTCTCTACCTTTCCAAGGTAGTATCGACCTACATCTTCTGATAACGTTACCTACCAAAGGAAATTCTATTCACGATGTCACACTCTTTATCACCGAATCCCTGCAGTTTAGTACGAAGAAATATTATCTATTGTACCATACTATTTATGGACAGTCAATGCTATGGGATACCTAGAGTGTTTTCTAGTCGTCGAAGGTACCGATTAAAAAACCGTTAGTCCAGCTGTTATACCAATTAGGTAGCTTTTCGGACGCCTAGCGGGAAAAGTAGGTAACTAATGTTAGTTCCATATTTAAGATAATGCTAACCGTATACAGTGCTTCTCAAGTATTCCTCGTTGGCCCCAGGACTTACATCATCGTCACGAACCACGTCATGTTAAACCGTTGCATAACTCTTTTTGTTATACCGTGTTCGGCCTAGAACAGCGTAGTTCGAAAACAAAGCTACAGGCAAATTCTCAGTGAAAAGATTCAACGTCGTTGTATTAGTACACAGTAAAACAACACGACGTTTACAAACGAAAAGTACGAGAACCGAATTTTATGGTAATTTCGAAAACAAAATGATTTGCAGTTTACAAACAATACTCGGACGTCTATGGGAGTGTTCTCTCTTTTTCCAGGTTGACTAAGCCTGATGAAAATGTAACGTTACGTTACTCTGGACACGGTAATAGGGAAGGTCGTTTCCTTCACGGACGACTAGTTCCATTAAAAAGCAACAGCAGCGCTGCCAACGATATTCTGTCTCGTTCGTACGTTAACACTTATTTTTCACAATGAATTCACTGAAAAGTCAAGTTACACTCTGGGACAAGGCTGCGGAAAGTTTACAAGTAAAATGCCAGGGTACCGAAATACATAACGATATATATAATCCCCGAATAAGACGCTGACGGAACAAGACCACGTAAGAAGATAGAAACCCTGAAGGAAATAATGTCGATTCGCATGGAAATCGCTGCCGTCCATGACACCAGGTTGCCTCGTAAATGCATGGGATTAACCTTACTTGCTTTGAATCGCGGTGCATTTTACATATATATAATATATACAGTCTGTATTCCCAAGCATGGGATACTTACGTACGAACATACGTTCTGACGGCACACGTCGTGGCGGTTTACATTGCAAATTTCTCTCGAAACTACGTTGGGCGACACGTTGTTCGTCGTAACCACGGAAGTTATTTGTCGATTAAATTAGAATCCGAACCAGCTGGTGTATCCAAAGCGTTACGCTCGTTTGGATGCCGCGGGCGAAACAGCAATCTACCTATGTCTATCTCCTTGTAATTTCTCATCTCGTTACACATTGATTGGTTCCTAGTTCCACACGTTCTAGATCGTAGGTATCAACCTATATATATATATATATATATATATATATTTCCTTATTGAAAGCTGACGAACATGCGTCATAAAAACACATTAAATATTTATTCGCACAGTGTGAAATGAACGTTAGTATCTGTACGCTAATAATGCAGACAAGGACGCCTCTTAAAACATAGCAAATCCGATCAGGGATCGATGATCCTTATCTACGTCGTAACAAGACTGGGAAGGATTTTAGATAGAGCATCATAAACGGCTAAGTAAATGACATAGAAATCCGTATCTATAGGGAGTGGAATGTTTTTCGAGAAATAAAGTAGCAGTAATAGGTGTAAAGAGGGTCGGAGCTGTACTAAAGCTCTGTCGTGTACAGAAAGTTGTACCTGTGAATGTCGGATGAGATAAGGAGGTTGGCAAAGAACGGAAATGGGGTTGGGTCCTCTATGACGTGGCGGATTGCTTGCCATTATATTTCTAGCAATCTTAACTCGACCCAACCCTCAATTCTGATAACGGATAAATTAATGGCTGCATTTGCTATGATAATATTTTGAAGCATGGCTTGCTCCTATAGGAACCATGTTTGTACTGTAGGCCTTTATAATAACCATATTGCATATAATGTGTACATATATATATATATATAAATGCTATAAGAGAGGAATTTGGGCCGCGGACTCTTCAGTTATTATATATCTATATATAAGTAAACAGGTAGTCACGAGTGCGACGCAAAAATCTTTTTCTCGCACACATGACTCACCATGATATCCTTGTTGCGCTGTGTATAATAAACTCGATGCGCGTCTGTCTAAATGGCTAAGCAAGTCTTATTTTATCTGTAAATCTTACACGAGTCTTAAATCCTTGAAAGAACATATTGCACACTTGATTTTCGACTCATTTGACCAAGTTATCACGTAACATCTAATTTTTTAGAGTGCACGCGATCTCGGCTATTTACTCAGTGAAGAACGGAAGTTCGGACAGTGGATAGAATCGACCAGGTACCATCTGGGCCCTAGACCGGATTTATGGAGAACGACTGGTCAAGGGTGAAGAGGAGAGGTGGAAGACGTTGCGTCAGGTGCCCGTTTCTTCGGCACGTATTTCATTGAAACTACAGTTACTTTTTGATAGAGTCAAAGCGATCTACACACCCGATGTGCACAGCGCACGAAGACCCTGTCCAGGGGAGATTTTGAATCCTGAGCCTTGGAGGTTCTCTCCTTGCACCATGCGTGGCCCATTTTTTTTTTGTAATCCTTTGTCCTCTCTACCTCCTTCTTATTCACTTCCGGTTCCTTTACGTCCCCACAGACTCTCTCGTATTCTCAGTAATACTCGGTAGTATCGTATTTGGTATTTTTGTCTCTCTCAATGTACAGAACAAAAATATATTATGTAGGCCATCTTAAGACCCGTTTCTCATGACCTGCCGCAACCGACGTTAAAGCCGGTCAGCAGTACCAGCCTATGGTATAGAAATACTAGTCAGTCTGTACTACTGAGAGGAGAGTAGCTCGCAGTAGGGAACGTATAAGGTCGATAGAATAGAATGGATATTCCTTGTAACGGAGGATAGGAAGATTCTTCTTCGATCGGTGACCTCCTCCACTCCTGAAAATGTCAAGCGTGTCTCTCAGAATTTTAAGATATTCAGCCGGTATGGAGGCCAGGACGATACCTCCTTTATTCGCGAGAGCAAATTTCGATTAATTTATTTGGTGAAACTGCATCGAAATTCCCCGAGGCCTACGCCTACTGTTTCACACTGATACCGGTTTCTCGGGCCATGAATGGTCATACGCGAATTCGTTTACATCAGCTGGCCTACGCGTAAATGAGACGACACATGACAATACTACCGGGTGTCCCATTATTATATTCACGTCCTCTCTTATACAATAGTTTCACAGAGTTGCACATGCATGGCTGTGGAATTCCTACCGGCTTGAATAACAAACCGGAGTCATTATATTATATCATAATCTATTATTACCCGTATTCAAATATTATTTCAAAACCTTCCATACAATTATCTTCAGACTCTTAATGCAATCTACAGGCACAATCTGATCAGAAATTCCATACAGTAATGCATGGTCGGTAGAATAATTATTTCATCCTTATCCGTTCCAACGTGGAATTCAATGCAGCTTCTACGTATCTATTGTTCGATTATTGGACCTACCTTGATTCAAAAGATCGTAGAAACACTTATTTAAATCCAAACAAGGGAACACTTGACTCGAGAAGAACCGGACACTGATTGACGCGCGGTCAACCCGTAGAAGGTACCCGGCGGTGGTACCGCTCGGATGATCACGAGACAGATCGGCGAACGACGGGCGACATAGTGCAGAGAGCGCGTGGTATGCGAGACCGGCTGTGACTTTAGCTTAAGGCTTTCTAACCACACACCGCAGACTCCGCACTCTGCACCAAACCATCTCCACGAGTCGCTTGAGAGAATCAGTTCTCCTTCTTCTACCCTATACTCAACTCGCTCTTTTGTTACTCTCTTTCGTTCTCTCCAGTCTCATAACTACCTTTACTCCCACCATCCTTTTACTACCTATCCTTCCCTACGTCTTCGTACGTCCAGGCTCTCCTACTACCAGCACCATGTATTTCTGACTCCTCTCAGGTGCACTCTCTGCCCGTTCTGATGCTCTTCACTCACCTTGCCACTCTGGCTGACTCCTTTCGCGAACCTTCACCTGACCCAGGAACTTCCTTAGACGATGTCTATCGGATATTCTATACGATACTCCCTATACTTACTGAGTCTTCTCCACGCCAGATTCTCCTATCTTTTCAGACATCCGGCTTCGAGATGATTGTTCACTTTGAGATCTTCGGCTCTTTCGGCAGTAGGTCGACAAACTCTACGCCTACGTCTTCTTCAGGTATTGCGCAAGATTCTAACCTCCGCTTCGAACGACTCCCGATATGGTTTTCTAGGCGTTCTCTCCGGGTTTTGGAGCAGGAGCTATTTGATTGGCCTTTTTTTTTTAATTATCAGATTGGTACAACCTGCAGTATCTAAATTCAGATTTGTATCGTCATGAGACGTAAACACTTTTGTATAACTACATATGGACAGATCATAAAACGCTGATAAACAGTGAGGAGTTTGTGTACCTGATAAGGCTTTCATTTTATACTGATAGTGCAATGTGAGGAGCTATACGTATTGTGATCGTAACTTTATGAGATGATCAAATTCTTGGATTTTAGTCTGCTCAGGTGATGCATTGAAATAATATGTATTTGGGTAAAATGCACGATGAATTATTCGCTGCATGGATGGTCGTTGGTTATCTGTTTGGTTACTCACGAGGACAAAGTGCGAATCGCACGATGCAGGTACTGATGCTTGGCGAGAGTAGGTCAACCACATTCGAACCTGTTGACTCGTGCTGACTATACTTATCGCCATTCCTATTCCCCACTCGACACTCAGCGTCATGAATTTCACTAATTAAATTCCATTGAACTCGATGAATTTCAAAGATCAGAGTTTTCCATGGTAGAAGAAAATTCTTAGTCTCTCGATCGACGCACTTAACGTGTGGATGCACTTATACCTTTATAACGAGCGAAGACTCAATGCTAATCGAACATTAATTACTGTGTACTTAATTACGTAGTTATGGTTAATGGGATATATTGAGAGTTCGCATTCGCTTGATCCCTCTCTCGATAATTGTTTATGGTCAATCCTCGAGGAACCGTTTTCGGTTATTGGCACTTAGTGGAGTAACGGTTCCAGTAACGTAGTGAGACCCGAAACTTTCTTCAGCATACCTGAAATTAACTACCCTTAAATCAATAAGGGGTGTATTTGGAGGGTTAGTATAAATACTCAGCGTAAATTCTCCTTGGGTCAGTATTTCTACGATTTTGAAAGTGGTCTCGTCAGTACTGAAGAGAGTGGCTGGGTAGAGTAACGTTGAACAGTGTAAACTGATCAGGGGCAAGAAAAATGATCAAACTCCTGTGGACGATCATCGTCCTAGGTCTAGTCTCCAGTTCGCTATCCTTGAATCTGAACGGGATCCTGGGAATCCAAGAAGCTCCTTTAAAGAATCTTGAGGAGCCTGAGGTGGTGGAGATCATCCGATGGCGACAACCAGTCTGCCTGACTCCTGCGAAAGGAGTGCTGCCTTGTCTCTCAGGTCTGAGCGAAATTCAATCAAATTATAAGAAAATGAGTGAAAGCGATAACAAACCGGTAAATGAAATCAAGAATCGCAGCGCCGAGAGTAGCGAAGACGAAGACTCCGGTGTTTCAGTCGAAACCAAGCTGCTCTCTCCCAAAGTTGTAGATTCGGTATTGATCGACGAATTGGAGCCATCTTCGTTGGAGGACTCTAATGAGGAAAGTCAAGAGAGAATTCTGAGTTTAAAGTCCAGCATCGCTGAGAAGGAGAATGTTGATTCAGATAATTATAGACAAGGAAAATACCTAGTGCTGTCGGGTAGGGGTAGGAATGTCGCATCAAAACCACCACCAATCTACGTAACCAAAATTCGGGATTCTCCTGTTGTAGCTACCCTGGTCGCTTACAATTGCCTTCCTGACATTGGTATTCCTCTCTGCGACGATGCAGTAACTTATCCTAAACCATTTCAAGATCCTTTAATTTATCAATATCCCACCAAGCCTACGAATCCAAGTTATGTTTCAAACGAGCCTGTAAATGATCCTGTTGATACTTCGAGTGACGCTGGACCATATAATAACGAACCTGAGGAACCAGCTAACTTCTGGGAGAATCCAAATAGTCCTTACTACGGTGTCGATGAACCAAATGAATCGTCATCCAAACCACCGGGAATTCAGGCAATTCACGATTACATCAATAAACCGGATGTTGTTTCCACTAACGAAGAGCCTGAGGTCAAGCCTGTGCTCGTAGTAGAGCCTACCCCAAAACCAGGACTTTTTGGTGGATTATGGCGACCAGGATTCTGGGATAAATCTACTACAACAGCCAAACCAAATGTAGTAGTGATCCAGCATCAAAATCCACCGGTTTATATTGTTGAAGACAAACCATCGAAACCTACTCTTGTGGAAGTCGCTGAGAAACCCAGCTTGGGTGAAATCCTTCACAAACCTGAGAATGATATCAGCAATAGACCAGGACTCCTTGATATATTTTCAAAGCCTACAACCGAGAAGCCTGTGATAATCGCCAAGCCGACGGAAAAACCCGGAATCTTTGGCGGTCTCTGGAACAATCCAACGAGACCAGAGAATCCTGATAAACCTTTCACCTCTGTACCATCAATTTTCGATGGATTTCCAAATCTTTTCACCAGACCGACAAGCAAACCTTTGATCATCGACAGACCCGATGAAAAACCTCTTCTTGTAGAGAAACCTGTCTATGTTGTTGAGAAGCCTGTACTTCCTACTCTCACTAATATTTTCAGACCTGAAGGTACAACTGCTTTAGATAACCAAGATCACGAGGTAAGGAAACAACCTACTTTAAAATGAAGTTTTAGGAATTATCTAATAAAAATATTTATAAATATTATTTATTACTTTCAGGTTATTAAAGACCCTGTCTACGTATACCAGAAGCCTGCTCAACATCCTGGTATCTTTGGTGGTGTCTTCGGAGGAAGTTACAGTACTACACCGACAACTGCAAAACCAGGAATTTTCGATGGATGGAACATTTTCAATAATAAACCAAATAACAACAAACCTATAATTGTGATCGACGAACAACCAAGTCCTGTTATTATCGAAAGGCCGGAGAAACCAGTGGTGGTTGTTGAGCAACCCGAAAAGCCCATAGTTGTGGAAGAAAAACCACATAAGCCAACTGTAGTAGTGCAAAAGCCCTTACTGCCAACGAAACCAATTCTGGTTGAGGACGTACCAGCAAAACCTGTTGTTATAGAAGAGAAACCAATTGTGGTTAATATTCCCGAAAAGCCGAAACCTGTTGTTGTTGTAGATTATCCAACAGAACCAATTGTAGTCGTGCAAGAACCGTCAAAACCTCAGATCCCAGTGATAGTTGAAAATAATCCTGAGCTGCCATCTTTCCCGAGCAGACCAGGAGCAGTTTATCCAATTGGAGGATCTACAGCATCCGCCACTGGGGTATCCGTTACTACTGGCACTGTTACCGGTACCAGTACCGATACTTTTGCAACGTCTGGCGGATTTTCGACTTCTGGTCTTTCGACTGGGTCTACAGACACTGCAGCAACTACTTCTGGATCTGGGGCGACCGCAGTTGCTGGAGCTAACTTTGGATCATCAGGAGCTGGATCTTCTGCAACCAATAGTGGTTATCCTGTTGGATCCTACACAGAAACTGGAACTGGATCCTACACTGATGCAGGAGCATCTTCAGTAAATACAGGATCCTACGCAGGAAGTGCTAGCGGATCGCACGCTACCGCTGGATCGTCTACAACAAATACTGGATCTCACACGGCAGCTGGATCCCAGGCGGGAACAGGATCCTACACGGGAACTGGATCCTACACAGGAACCGGAACTGGATCCAACGCTGATGCTGGAGCATCTTCAATAAATACAGGATCCTATACAGGAAGTGCTAGCGGATCGCACGCTACCACTGGATCGTCTACAACAAATACTGGATCTCACACGGCAGCTGGATCCCAGGCGGGAACAGGATCCTACACGGGAACTGGATCCTACACAGGAACCGGAACTGGATCCAACGCTGATGCTGGAGCATCTTCAATAAATACAGGATCCTATACAGGAAGTGCTAGCGGATCGCACGCTACCACTGGATCGTCTACAACAAATACTGGTTCTCACACGGGAACTGGGTCCTACACAGGAACCGGAACTGCATCTGACGCTAATGCTGGAGCATCTTCAGTAAATGCAGGATCCTTCGCAGGAAGTGCTAGCGGATCGCACGCTACCACTGGATCATCTACTACAAATACTGGATCTCACACGGCAGCTGGATCACAGGCGGGAACTGGATCCTACACGGGAACTGGATCCTACACAGGAACCGGAACTGGATCCAACGCTGATGCTGGAGCATCTTCAATAAATACAGGATCCTATACAGGAAGTGCTAGCGGATCGCACGCTACCACTGGATCGTCTACAACAAATACTGGATCTCACACAGCAGCTGGATCCCAGGCGGGAACTGCTTCCCACACGGGAACTGGATCCTACATAGGAACCGGAACTGCATCCCACGCTGATGCTGGAGCATCTTCAGTAAATACAGGATCCTACGCAGGAAGTGCTAGTGGATCGCATGCTAGCGGTGGATCATCTACAACAATTACTGGATCTCACACTGGATCTGAAAGTGGATCCTACGTAGTACCTTCCAGTGAATCTCATGCTACTGCTGGAGCTGCAGTAACCGATGATGGAGCCTATGCAGCAGCAGAAACTTCAGCCAGTAGTGGCACCGCAGGCATTGGATCCACTATTGGTACCATGACGGATACCATTACATTCACCAATGGTGAAGCAGTACTCCCTACCTTGAAGGGTGATTTTAATGTAGAAACTGAAGATACAAAGAAAAACACCTTTAAAACTAAAGCTGAAGATATTGAAAACGAAGCCTAAAATCGTTTCACACACTTTAATTTATTAATTCATCCTATCATCTTAGCACTATTTATTTATACCGTAAACATGTTGAATTAAAAAAAAAAGTATTAAAATAAAATAATCTGCAATTAATAAAATCTATGCTTCTTGTGGCTTACCTGATGAACTAAAAATTATTCATAAACATATATTGCAACAAATATGCAATAATTAGTTTAAGAAAAATCGCAATAACCGAACTTTTTAATTAATATTTTTTTAATATTCCGGACAAAGGCAAATAATTAAAAAAAGTCAATCAATATTCTGCTACTAATTCTTTATTACACTCATTACGTTATATATTATTGTACAGAAATTATGGAAGTTGATGTAACATGATTTATGAGATAAAATAATGTTAAGATATCACGATCTGGTTAAACAATAATGCAATAGATTCATACAATAATCGAGGACGCTATAACAATAATATATCTAAATGTAACGCATGAAATTTGCTAATAAAGGAGAATAAAGTAAATCTTTCATAATGATTATACAAGAATTGCATATGTCTATATTATTCATTCTTCGACCTCGTTATGCTTAGAAAATTCGCTATAAGTTTTGCACGGGTACATACATTGCATACATATAAAGAACAATTCGATTCACACTGAATAATCACAAGACAATTGACTATAATATTTAGTATCTTATTATACGTATCACATTAGTTCGGCCATTAAAGACCGCACGGATCAGACTTCGGAACTTGTTCCGATCCGACGACTCAGCGAATCCTTGACGTTATTATCCTTGACCATAAACATGATATGATAAGACAATCAATTATTCCTAGGATGGGTTCATTTTTTAATAATGACGGATATCCTATCAATTTTCAATATACCAACAATATTTTTATATATAATAAAAGATTAATAGATTGTCTTTCCTGTCAAGGATTGGCTGAAAAACAGCTGATCCAAAAAACAAAAGATACAAAAATAAAAGTATACAACTGTCAAAAAATTCTAGTTTTTCCCCATTTTTCTGACTTATTCTCAGTTTTTTCGATCGATCGTAAGAACGATGGAATATTTGCCGACTTTGATTAATCACGGTATGTTATATTGGTAACGTAACATAACCTTTCTTCCGATAATTTTTATAAAGTCGTATCCTAGGACTACTCAGTCCTGGGGACAAGGACTAGGAATCTCACGGTAGCATAAATGACTCATCCTTATCAGGTAACTTATCTACTCCTGGGGGTACATATATCCAGTGATTCCCGTAGTCTTCTTAGGCCTCTCGGTGGGATAAAGTATAATCGTATTGTGAAGAAATGACTCATTAGTTCCAAACTTGCATCTTGAGGATTCGTAAAGCTTTCTGGGGTCATAAGGTATTGCTTGAGAATATGGGAAGTTAATGGTTGTTCTCAAGTTCCTGTATGGTACTGGTTTATGATGATATGGAATTTCACTGGGAATTAGCAATTTCCAAGGATTTAATGGCAGGGTCTTCCTATATTGAAGTTCGCTTGTTTTTTGAACAGGATGTAAATTCCAAGAGTCGAATGGAATTGCCATGGCATATGGGAATTCACTTGGTTCTCTTCGTACTGCTGTCAGTTGCCAAGAATTGAAAGGAATCGCCTTATAGTATGGAAACTCGCTACCTTCTCTAGCTACTTCTAGTTTGCTAGGATCATATGGAATTCCTTCGGCGTAAAGAAACTCAATTCCTCTATCTGGTGTATACGTACATCTTCTCGGAGTCATATGGAGTTGCCTTATGGTACACAAAATTATATTCTGATTCGGCCATCTTTAGTATGCTGGGATCATATGGAATCGCTTCAGCATGGGGAAACTCTAATCCTCTACCCGGTACATGAAGATTCCTGGAATCATATGGAATTGCCATGTGATATGGGAACTCGCTCCCTTGCTTTGCAACTTTTAAATTCCTTTGATCATACGAAATTGCTTTGTCATATGGAAACTCAATTCCTCTTTTTGGTACGTAGAGCTTTTCAGGATTGAATGGAATTGCCTTGGTATAGGGAAACTCAGTTCCTTGTCCGGCAACCTGAAGTTTCTTGGAATCGAATGGAATTGCCTTGGAATAGGGAAACTCACTGCCGATCTTGGCTATCTCTAATTTTTCAGGATCGTACGGAATTGCTTTGGTGTATGGAAATTCCATCTCTACCACGTACACCTTAAAAGGCTTCTGTTCTTTCGCTTCAATTGTTTCTTTGACTCTTTCATCAGCTTGAATATCATTCTTTCCCGCATGATAATATACATCAGCCAATTTCTCAGTTATTAATGATTCAATGTCCATAATGGAATTGAAGTTTTCAGTCTCAGGTATTTTTTTTAACACTCTGCCATTCTCATTTGTAGACTGTTCCTCGCCAGAAATGGGATTGGATTCTACTGTACCACCAGATGTATACGCTTTGGCCATTCCTGCATTGTTTATAACGCTCTTCCTTTTTGGCGTACTGATATCCAAACTTTCATCTTGAGGATTTTCCTCCGCCTTGACCTCCTCCGTAAGTTTTTCCTCCTTTAATAAAATTTGGCTATACCTACCGCAACCCCTTTTGCTTAACCTCCATAATTTTACTTAATCAAATTTCATATCTTCAAGGACCATTAAAAATATTAATATCCACAGAAATACTTACATTTTTCGATTTCGAGGAAATAGAATCTTCAGCAGGACGAATTGTGGTCGAAGTTGTACCGGAAATAGGCTTGGCGAACGACGGATATCTAGGTTTGTAAGAATACAACGTGCGTACTTCGAGATCTCGTCGTAGAGTGTCTTCTTCTTTGCATATTGGTAGTTTAAATGGTACACTGTAAAAAAAGACATATGAAAAATCAAAACTCGTTATTCAACCTGTACAATAAATTTTTCAAAAATGTACCTGCTCGGAAGGCAGCCCACTAGTTTATAAATAACAGTAACCTTCTCGCTCGTAGCTCGACTGACAAAAGCTTCAATCTTCCCTCTGATCTCATCCGCAATCCTGGAAATGAATTTGCGTTAATTAATTCAATTTAAAGAAATTATACTTGAATACAGATATAGTATCAAAATTCAACATTAAAATTTTATAAAAATTTATATAGTAATTTTTACTCGTCATCATTGCAGGGATGCAAGTCTATGGGAATATGAAGACAATTATGCGGAGTTTCTATGAAAGAGGAATGTTCCACGTTCCTAGTACTTCTATCCAGAGGATGAGCATATGTCAAGGCTAGCATCAACGGCAGTATCTGTATCAATTTCAATTTCATTTGGCACTTCATGATATTTCAAAGTAATTCCTGAAACAGTCAATAAGCGATTCGTAATAAGCAATTAAAAAGTTTAAATAAACATAGCACATTTCCAATGAAAATTATCAACGCTAAATTATCTCTCAACAAATATTTCTTCGTTTGTTATATAAATTGTTATGCGAACCCGGTGGACTTTCAGTTATTGACAGACCAGACAAAACGACGCAGAGCGATAATATAAAATATGATGAAGTTGCCTTTTCTTCGGCAAAAACATTACATAAAATATAACAAGGAATTGTTACTACATTAAAAATATCGTCTTCCCTCTATGGCAAAATTTCCAAAAATATCTCGCAGATGAGATACAATAAAACAAATTAATATGATTTAGTTCATGGTACCTTACAACTGGTAAAAAAATTAACCCTATTTTCCAAAAGGTATATAGTTGTGCATGCTACCTTCTTAGAAATCCGAAAGAGCAAGATTATCCAAGGGAACTGATAATATATATTGCACTAGAAAAAAAATTAGAAATATATTAACAGAGCCACTGACAGACTTGCAAAAAATAAAAAGTCGTTCAGCAACTTCAAAAACCAATAATAGTTCCTGAAGAAGAAGCTTAGTCAATCGCCAAGCAGAGCTCGAAGAACACTGACTGCATCGTAGCCCTAGAAGTCCTTAAAAACTGTTTGCCACGTGTTCCCCCCTCTGTCTTCTATTTTCTATACCCCGCTCATCAGGCCCTAAATTCATAAACACTTTATATATCCCCACCACGTGGTGACCAGGACCAATGGATCTAATGGACTTTATACCAAAGTTTATAGACATTAAAAATAGATCATTCGATATTTCGAAATTTTATCATCTCGGTGTCTCCTCCGCGTTGAAGTCCCTTCGTGACTTAATCGAAACTCGGACAAACATATTTTCAACCACTCAGACCTCTCGCTACTGAGATTGACAGTGCTATCGAATAATCATATATCTTCAGCACTGAAATAAGGCCGATTATTCATATTTGATTCATTCTGCTCCTAATCGTTATAGTAAGTCACCTTTAGTAGGGATATACATCGATACCTTTACGTACTCTGTTAAATGTAAAACTGAATGATATATATAATACATTCTATTATCTAACCCCAAAATTTAGAAGGTAGTATTTTTGGATAAAAAAGACAAACGACCAAAAACAATCTTCAAGACAAATAAGAATCCCTTCTTGCCTTGCATTGTTCATTAAATCTTCATTATTCTAATCAGAAATAAGGCCTCTGGTCGGTTGACTAGTAAACAGAACCATTATATCATCTACCGGCAGCTACTAGGTACTCGTACATTGCAGATCTTTATAGCATCCCCGTCATTCCCCTTGGCTACATTTCATCGAACCTCTAGCGTCGTCAACTACCTCCAGATTATCCGATTAAATGCAACGACGGTAACGAAGAAAAGAAATGACAAGTAAAATTGAATAAAAATAAATACAATGCTAAAATCTACCAATTAAAAATTGACACCTAGACGTCATCGACACATAAGACAAGTGTAATCGGAATGAGTCTGGATGCACGTAATTCTTAATAAAAATGAGTAACAATAAGAAGAAATGAAGTCTGAACGATTGCTCACGATATATCGTAAGGGGATATTCCTCGAATAACAATCCTGTTTACCCGATTCTTAACGCCCGGGTGGAGACACCGTCTACGCGTATGATAATACAATATACGATGTCTTGTCGACGTATTGGAGAACGTGCAACTGGGGAAACAAGTGTACCAGAGTGCATTGTCCACTACTGATCAAGTAGCACTGAACATAATTGTCAGAGGATTCTTAGCCTATAAATACGTAAGATCATAGTTACTACCTGGATGTATATAGATTGTCATTGAATGTATAAAGTACAGAACAGAAAATGCATTAAAAATTCAGACTCTATCAAGACCATGTGTCATATGACTGTAATCTGGGAGGTCGTATTTAGAAAGGATTGGTTAATCAGAATAATGTCTGGCAACGGTCTGGCATACTACGTGTGCATGATACGTGAACTCTATGTACTATATTAGTAGCAAAATCTCGTATGTCGTTACCCATCATAATACATGATAGGGACAATGATGATATCGACACTGCTCCTTGTAAACAACCAGCACGACCTGGAGTATTGTAGCGCCAACAGACAGGGTTATCTGACAATACTATTTATAAGTACGCACCATCGTGATTCAATAAAAATACATTTGCGTTGGCTTGTAAATAATTATCTGCATTATTAATACAGGCAATTAGCATCACCGTAAATCAATGAGAGCGCCTATAAGCGTTTGATAAGGGATATCGATAAATTAAATATAACTGACAGTATAAAAAAAATACTAATACATAAGAACGGCCATGAACAATTCAAAAATAAACTTTCAAATCTTTTAGATACCAAATTTCAACTACGACCCCACAAAATTATCTAATCTTTTATCATGTTATCAGAACTAAGTTTGAATATATTTCTAATAAAAAATATTTAAATATTGACTTACCAATGAAGAATCCAGACTACAGTGAATATCTGTTGTCCTCTGTCTGTTATCAATAATCAGTTTCTTTTCGATTATCTTCTTTGAGTTTTATGAGTGGATAGTCCAGGTAAAAATATACCGGAAGTCGTCACTCTCGTTCACCCCTTTACGTTAGCGTGTGAGTTTATAGTGCACTGACCGAGGGTGGACGGATAAAGGGTTAATCGTCAGATGGACGGGATAATTGTATGCAAGGGAAAAAATACTCGACTTTTCAAAGGGTTTTAATTCAAACTGAAATTATATTGGAATAAATATACATTTGAATTAGGTGAAAAATTCTTTCTACAGGCTGATGATCGGTAGGGGTTGTAGAGAGTAAAAAAAATTGCAAATCTTGTAGCTACCACCTCGATAGTAACGTCGACCGTAGTCGACTGTACTACTACCGCGGACTCGCAATCTTCTTTGCGAAAGACTATCTAACAGTGTCAAATCCCTACCACGAAGAACTCAGTCACCGAACTCATTCCGCACCACACGATACTTCGCAGCTTCCTCGCGATAGATCAGCCGCTTTATAAGAATCTCTGAAGAATTCAACATCGCAGATAAAAATTCACGTGTCCCTCAGACAAATCACTGACACAAGATTAACTTATTTTAACACGAAATCACACAAGTATTTGCTTCATTAAGCAAAATTAACTTCTCTTCAAATCACACACGATAACCCTACCCACGTAGACTTATATGATTAAACACAACGTTCAGCAAACTTGTGTCTCATGGTTGCTCACCTGACAGTGATATTTGCTAAATTAAATGATGGCATAAAAATACATTCATCTTCAATGTTGATTACGTGTTACGCTTCATTCATCGTGCTAAAATGGAGATAAATATTATTTCATTTATGTTCTACCAAAGTATACGGTAGGTACGGTTTGAGTTTACCTCATAGCATGATGAAAATTGTTATTATTAATATTTTATAGGTGATCTTACCCAGTGATAGTTTGCGGTGTTAGTCTTGTTATTATTACTATTATCGAGGTATCTGCAGATACCGAATAAAAGTTTTTCCTAGTCTTCGTATCCATTGCACTTCCTTCAAACGTGAGAGTACCAATCGAATATAACTAGGAACGAGACGCGCTAGTACAGATTTTAATAGGGTAAGTAACGGACAATTGAGAGAGCTTTTACTTTCCTCGTGGTCATAACAGCGCAAGACCGAGTACACGTGCACCCTGCACGTGTCTTGATTGCCTCTGTGCATGCACTCATCCCACTTGCTTCATTCTCTTCTCTCTTCTAGGATAGAGCGTCTGGCTATTTATCAATGTACATATCTTATACATATAACAGTCTACTCTTGCGTATGCACCAGAAGGAAGGATAGGATTGAATAGAAATAGGAAGATAGAAGGGGAACCGTACGTACGTAAATCGTGTTGTCTAGTACAGAGGGCGCCACGAGTTTTCGTCTAGTACAGTTTCTTTCTGGGTTTTTGTCATCGTTTATTGACTAAGGTATTTGTGAATGACTGGAAATAAAATTTATGTGTAGATGACCATGTGTCGTGTATTTGATATTTCGGATTATTATTACCTTAGAGATATTCGAAATTTGTATGCTGGAGGGTTCTTAATTGGGAAATAGAGACTGGTCGAGGAATTTATCACAGCTTGTAGCATCATTGGCTAGATGACGAGATAAAATTACCTAAAGACGACCTTAAACGTGAGAGAGGAGAGAGGATGGAGAAGGAGAAAGAGAGAAAGATGAAAAGCATGTCTGAGAAAGAAGAAATGAGATGGATCAAACTGAATAACAACATAAACAGATTGGTTAACCCAGAGATCCAAGCTGGCTTGACGACCCATTATAATGTCGATCTGTGATGACCGACTTTCTACGTGTGGATATCATTTCTATATTATTATCTTGTACAGGTTCTTATGATATATTGCATTGACTTCTTATCTGCAGGTATCTACGCGTAGTTTGAGAACTGTTAAAAGATTGCGAATTATATTTGATTGGCAATTTTCTAGATCTTTTGCCGGAAGACTATCCTCCGCGTGTAGTTATTACCTTGGTCAACTACTTAGGCTATCTTAAAACCTTGGTAACCCCTTTAGGGTGTATGAACTCTATTGGAATTACTCGGGTTCAAGGGTGACCGTGAGGTCACATAAAATTCATTAGCCTGAACGATCTAACTTCATGAGCTATCAACTACATCTACTTAAACTATTCCATTACCCATTTATACCAACTTCTAAATACTTCATTCTGTTATTTTATTTAAATTTTTACTTAAAGTATCTTATATAATGTTTGCAAGATTATATAATATAATATGTATATTGTATTTCGAATCGTTTATCATATATAGCTACTTAAAATTACCCCCACAAAGCCGCACAGCATTATGACTTCTATGCTTATAGGCCTGTCAGTCGAGCTTTAACTCCCTACCACGTCGCATGTAAAGATATAGTTCATTACACAAAAAAAAAGAAATTTTCAATCACAACGATAAAATTACTATTCTCTATGTGTGCACTAAACAGTTAAATGTTAGCTACCATGGCCCGATGTGTACATACATACATACATATTGGACGAATATAAAAGAACTTATAGCGTGCAATACAGATGGCGCAGATAGCATCACGTACACTTAACGCCATTAAGGCCTGGACTTACCGACCGAGTTTCCCTATTTAAATTACATGAGTGGAAGAGAGACCGAAATAGATTTAGGGGCCCAAGTATTAATAAAGCTGAGTATATGTACATTTTCACAAGTATTTACTAATGACCACTTTCTTCACTTTCAGTTAAAATTTAACCTGCGAATAAATTTCCAACTAATCAATCATTTTAATGCTTTAGGAGTTTATTCGCAGGCACAAATTTTTACCTAATGTGAAAATCACTGGCCATAGATGTACTATACTCCATAATTGAACCATGTTTCCGGTTATTGAATTTCAGCTAATAATCGAGTGATTTTTGTCTCTGACAGAAATCAGACAATGCACTTGACTAAAATTAAGAAACCGGACATGATTAAATTATGGATTATAATCCTACGGTATGATCCTACTTTATATCTGCATTTCTACGCATAGAACTAAACATCTCAAAAATTGTATCATTAACATTTCTCACTTTTCTTCTTAAGTAAAGATTAAATTTAAAACTAGACATCCTGTATAAAAATGAAGCTCGCAATTAAACATATGCTACACAGATGAATCAAACAAAATAAAAGTCCCCTAGTAAACTAGGCATAAAAAGGTCTACAAAGAACGTACATACGTATCCATCCTACACCACGATGATGTTTCAAAGTGATACGACGGGCACGACGAATCATCCACTAGATGTCATGCAACGCAAGTCTAAAATCTTGGCTAGTGCGCATGACTGAAGTTCCCAGTTCTACAGTTATCTACACGGAATAAGTGAAGTCTATGATTTCTTCGGCCCCTGTACTTGATAATTGTTTATTATTGTATTTTTTTACGGGGAACAAAATATTATATGAGGCTCATTGCATTGATCGCTATAGTTTTCGAGAAATACAGTGTTAAAGTCAAAAATAAATAATATGAATTTTCACATAATACTTCGGTTTCCGAAGCACTAATTTAATCTGACAGCTATTTTTGGTAGTATCTTTCAGTTGGAAAACAATGATGCAATAATTATGTTAGCATGTTTGGTTAATAAATCTTGACAAACATGATACAATTTCAAACCAAGATAAATATAACCACGAACAGTATTGTCATATCAAGGGGCCGAAAAAATTATAAACTCCCCTTATTCTGTGTAGAGTTGACCGCGTAAAGTTTTTCGTGTAGAGTTCGCCCATGTAGAACCGAGTCCCATTCGCGCACGACACTTTCTTGGCCGAGTGTCTTCGTGTTCGTCAAGCCACAGAAACCTTCCGTATTCGTTCGTCATCGAAGGCGTCGATTATCATAGTGGAGAAGTCTCACTCTTATCTTTCTTTCTTTATATCATATCTTTATTTCATTATCGTAGTATTAGTTCACTTATAACGATACGCATAATATTTAAGTTTATTCTATACGGCATCTGCTACTGGAGCAAGACTGATTCCTGTATAGATAAAAAGGCAGAGCGGAATGAAGGACATACTGTCACAGGTAAGATAACGGCATAAATTTTAGAAATGCAATGGCAAAATCAGATAATAATTCAACGACATATACTTTTCATACTTCCATACTTCGATGATTTTTTCTTTTAACAGGTGCTTTGATGTGACCTTTTATTTATTTAATCTTTTTCCGATTTCACCCCATAAGTTTCCCACCGGATTCCATGTCCAGACTTTGTAGTAGTGTTCAATGTGTATAGTGAATTATATAAAAGCCACTCTTTAACGATCCAAGCTTTCTGCTTGGGATTGTCATCTTGTTTGAAGTGGAAATCTAATAATCCTAGTTTACGGGCACCGTCTAAAATTATTCCTTAAAATGTTTTGACATACAGCTGCACACCATGACAAAACTACCTTAGTGTTTTACCGTTTGATATAAATTCTGCATCTTCAATTCTGCATCTGGTGTTCTCCATATACATATGTTCAGACTTTTATAATCTTACGAAACCTCCAAAACACTATCTGGAAGTTCAAATATACATATATTATGTGTTATTTTAAGTGATTGACTAAATCATATTCAGCAGTCTTACTGTCTTAATAATGTTCGCAGTATCTATTTTTTTAATTTTGGAATACATTTGAGATATATTTTAATATTCAAAATAATATACACATATATAATAAAAGACAATCAAAAAAAATTATCTTCACGCTGGACTCTGTCGCAAGCGTAAAGTTAGCAAAAGTTACATCGTCGATTGTAATCTTTCTCTTACACGTTCCTAAGGAAGAAGTTATCTTTGAAGTAATAACCACTGTTCCTCACTATGTTTTATTATGTAATTTATTTTTTTGATGCTCTGTATTTAATTATTAATAATAATAAGCTGCGAGGTTTATTTTTGTGCATCGCGTAAACCGTCAATGTTTTCGGTTTGGCTATCGACATCATCGCCGTCAGAGTACTATCTCTGAACGTCCATTCACCAATGGATTCCTGGCATGTGCACTAGAGCAAAGTTATTTTCACGACGCGGATTCACCGCGCTCGAAATTCGCTGGTACGTGACAGCGACGTCACACATACGTACCGCCCTTGTCGACTTCTTGAAAACGACAATAACGTAGGCGGATATCCGCCACCCACTTGTGTATCTCTGATTATTCTGGTCTCTCTTATGTCTACATACAATGTATTTTTTGAGATGACAATGCAGTGTAATGACAACTCAGGAAGTGACGTCTTAGAAAATCTTAAAATGATTCACCGCCCAAGACATGTGACAGGTATAAAGAGTTTAAAACCTAACCAGTAAATTTATGACTGACAGGGGCTTCATGGTATACTATTTTTCCATTGACAACTAGACTCCCAGAAAAACTAAATTGCAGCCACGTGTTCAACATATTTCCTACGAGAGTCGCAGGTCAGGCCCTTTTATGATAGGGAGGGACCACCAGCGATTGTCTAGTCGGATCCCTTTTTCTCCCTAATAAATAAGTCTCAGTACCACTTTTTAGAACGTCTTACCGGACGCGACCTGTTATTAGCAACCGATAGTGCATCTCAAAACATCATATTTCTAACAAGGAAACCCCCCCAACCCGACCCCACCGATTTCAATAATTTTTTGATATGTTGTAGTACTCGACAAAATAAGAGACACGTATTTTTTTTTGTGCTGACATCCACTTTAAAGGGGTGAAAACGACCCCTGAAATTCATCCCCGAAAATCGTTTTTTTATCATATCTCGACTTCTAATTAATATTTTTTAATAAAACCAAGTGGAAAATATTTGTCATAAGAATTCGAAGATATGAGGTGTGTTTATGACCCAAGGGGTTGCAACCCTTATTTTATATTTTGAAAAAACTATATTTTTTATGCTTTTTTCTGCATAAAAACCGGGGTATGGGCTCAAAAAAATAAAGAAGTGGGTCATAAACACACCTCATATCTTCGAATTCTTATGACAAATATTTTCCACTTGGTTTTATTAAAAAATATTAATTAGAAGTCGAGATATGATAAAAAAACGATTTTCGGGGGTGAATTTCAGGGGTCGTTTTCACTCCTTTAAAGTGGATGTCAGCACAAAAAAAATACGTGTCTCTTATTTTGTCGAGTACTACAACATATCAAAAAATTATTGAAATCGGTGGGGTCGGGTTGGGGGGGTTTCCTTGTAAGTGCCAGCAGGTGGACTCATAAGTAGCTAAATATGACAGTTTTCGAATATTTTTTTTAACTATCCTTGACATTCCTCAGATTCCTCGTGCTTACGATATATTGCACTAGTAGCCATTACCCTAGGCAACTATATTGACCTACTCGAAATGTCGCACCAGATCGTTCCGGGTCTTGTAAGAAATGTTTGACGGATTGAAAATAGAGCGACATTTGCGTTCGAATCGTTCGCGAGCCTCGTTAGCGAATTTGGCACGTCATTGGCATCGAACTTCATTCTTCGAGCTTCTCGATTAGATTGTTTAGATAAACTGGTTTCCGTTTCTTCTATTTCTACTCGACTTGGAATGCGCTCCTCTCCCACTGCGAGGCATTTCGACGATTCCAATAATTCCTTAAGGTCGTTCATCTTGAGAAGCAGGAATTAGAGACAAGCTTGCATAGCTCAGCTATTCCATGTATAACTTCCGGGACCTGCTAACAGGGTCATCAAATTACATGGGAAATGGCTCTTGGAATTGAAGTTATGCCAGACTATTTAGAACACATTAATTTCAACTGGAGTACCCGAATTTGTAAACTTGGCACGATTTCCGCAAAGAATTTCTTGCTGCTTTTACTATCTTGTGACCTACCTTCTTTACAATGAGTCTTTTTTACAGTTTCAGAAGGATGGCTATGTAGTCCTTCAGGATTTCTTCAACGAGCAGGAGGTTGAAGAACTCAGATCAAGCGGCGAAGAATTTACGACGAATCTTCCACCAGAAAATGAGAGAAAAATTTTTAATGCAGTAGAACAGCCGCAGGTAATATATGTATATAGTATATACCATTTAAAAGATTTAATATCAATCTTCTACGGAAATTAAAATAGTATCGTGTCTGATATAGAGCAAGGACCATTACTTTTTGGATAGTGCCAATAACGTGAGCTTTTTCTTCGAAAAAGAAGCTCTAGACGACGATGGTAAGCTCAAGGTACATCCTAGAGTCTCCTTGAATAAAGTGGGACATGCTCTTCATTGGCTACATCCAGTCTTTAAAAAATACACCTTCGATGAGAGAGTGAAGGAAGTAGCTTTCCAACTGAATTTGCAGGAACCAGCTATATGTCAGTCAATGTATATCTACAAAAATCCTGGACCAGGTTCAGAAGGTAATACAAACATAAAATATACATTCCTCTTAAGACTCTATATTCTTCATGTTTAAAATTTGTAGTTATAACACATCAAGATGCCACCTATTTATATACGGATCCAGTAAACCTTGTGGGATTTTGGATAGCTCTGGAAGATGCTACCATAGAAAATGGCTGCTTATCAATCGCACCAGGATCTCATCTTAGTGGCATTCATAGACGTTATATCAGAAACAAGGATCCTGATTCTAAAGAATTATTAATTTATGATAGAGCCGCACCCTGTTACCCCACCAGTAACTTCCGGGCTGTTCCAGTACGCAAGGGCACGTGTATTCTTCTTCATGGTCAAGTTGTACATTTCTCAATCAGCAATAAAAGTGAGAAATCTAGACACGCCTACACCTTTCACGTTATTGAAACGAAGAATGTAACTTATTCCAAGGACAATTGGAAACAACCACCCGTGGAAGGCTTCCCACTTCTTTATAGAAATTAGTGTTCTTCTTGCATGATAGACGGTACGAAGACTTCAAAGAAAAATTAAAATTAAACTCATGGGAAAATATATATAAGTTGACATTTTTTTGCAGCTATACAGCTTTATTTTACACAATATTGTATAAAAAATAAACTATATTCACTGTATCTCATTAAATTTTAATATAAAAAGGTTTTATATTAATCTGTTATTTATTCCTTAAGCCAACAACAAAACTATATAATAGTTTCAAAAAACAAAGCATAACGTATTTAAAACAAAATAATTTTCTTTGTTAAGAGAAAGCACTGCTATCGCAGCAATAACTTAATAACATTTTAGCAATTTATATGTACATACCTAATATTAGTATACAAGATATACATACCAGTATACTTTTTCACAGTATCACCAATTATTGAAAGCATTAGTTTGTTCTAACCACTACTTGCACTAGCTATACGACAAAAGTGTATACTTAGATTATGCAGCTGTGCCAAACCTATTTTCAAGGATGATTCCTTCCTCTTGAGACAGTAGTACAGGTCTAGAAGTGAGATATCTGAGTAACTCTGGTCGGATTCTGGTAAAAAGTTTACCAATGCCTCGCGTAACAGGATCAGCGCTCCATGTTTTATATGCAAAGCGTTCACCTGTTGCAGGGCGCTGTAACATCCAAGAGAAAACGATACATATTTTATATCCTGGAAAATGAGTACACTAACTCCTAAGTAAAATGTTACTCACGAGCTCAGAGCAGTCCTTAATCTGTTTACATTAGCTGCTAACTCCGGTTGAATCTCTTTTATGTGTTCAGCAGAAGGCATGGGATCCGGAGTTTCATATGCAATATCACATGGTATACGTTTCAACTTCGCAGCTAAACCACTAAAAACATAAAACATTTAATATTAATACTTATGTTCATTTTTATTAAACAAAACATCATAGTAAATTCTCCACTTACCATCTATTACAAGCATAGGAATAAATATCATGGAAATATTTAAAAACAATTTCTGCACGGCGTTCCTGTTCCTCCGCTTCAATTTCCGGGCCGAATTCTGTTCGGAACTGTTCCTCATTTATTTGTCTGATAAATTCCTGACAAGTTTTCTTCAATTTCTGTAAAATTCATAGTTATGTTTTAGGAAAGCAATAAGTCGTACCAACAATGGAAAAGGTATATGACATTTACCATGATATTTGCCATAGTAGTTTGTACTAGCTGAGGATACTTGTCTTGCTTGGCACATTGCACCAAGTCACTGCAACGTTCCAGGATGTGACTGACATCGCGCAGTTTTCTACCTTGATCTTAACAATAATTATTATTTTATCAATTGTTTTCCCACATGCACTAGGAAGAACTTACCTGGAGGTTGCTTGAAATTCTCTAACAGTTCTTTGAGTATATTTTCCGCTCTCCTGATAAAGGATTCACTGACTGCAGCCATCCAATGTTTCACGGCGCATTTTAGTACATCAATTGGAGACCAAGGTGGATGAATGATTGTATGTTTTTCCCAAGGATCACCGTATAAATTCTGCATTTCCTTTGCGACGATCTAAGAGAAACAGTTATTTAAAAAAAGTTCTAGGCTTTTGGATATCTTCGTCATACTGTACTTACAATTGAAAGAAATTTTTTCAGTATAGCTTTGGCCTCCTCAAGAATTTCATCGGACATTTCTTTTTCTCTATCGAAATTTGAAACGGGTTCGGAATAATATTCACCATTATCATTTAAGTCGTATTGTAACGTCCGAGTCTCATTTATACTTTCAATAGCATTTAAAAAATCTATCTTTTCCAGAGGATCATTACGTCCAAGGGTGAGGATGTCATGGATCATTGCTTTATTGCAAAGATTTATGTCATAAGAAAGTAAAACCTAAAATGATAGAAAATTTAGAAGACAAGAATTCATATATCGTTAGGAATTTTAGTTTTTTAATGAAAAGCTTACCACAGTATGCCCTGATTGTGCAACCTGAAGGCATGTCTGTAAGATTTCATCATCTGGACAATCAAAAGCAAACTGTGCTTTATTTCTTTCAAAATCTGAGGCTGTTTGACCTTTAACACGAGGATGTTTGTCTGAAAAGTGTTGGTAAAGGAATCTAATAGCTCGTCGAGCTTTCGCTTGCAAAGATTCCGAGTTGTTATCTTTTATGTAGTCCAATTCCTAGAACGTAAGAACTTAATAATAATTTGTTAACTAATCAAAAAATGTTTTGAACGTACTCGAAGAACTGTCCATGGTACTACAATAATCGGTCTGCCATAGCTCTTAAAGACAGCATCTCTGGCTTGTTCTACTGCCTGTATATTCGAGAGGAATACATTTGTGTCGATAATGATATACAAGTCTTTATTATTCGCATCTCGAGTCATTGGAAATTCCAAATCATTTTTTGGTGTATTAATTGTAATTTCATCCCAAGCCTGAGTTCCCAGTTGCACTCGAACATTTTGTACCTACGTCAAATCAAATTCATTAAGGTGCTAACACAGTAAATCATACATTTTAGATTAAAGATATACCTCTGACATTATTTTTTCATCTTCAATTGGTGACCATTCCATTTCTTCATAAAACGATTGCTCTTCATGACATTCCCTTAACAAAGCACCTATCCCTGTCACTGGTTTATTATAACTATCATTCGCTTCCACCGATTTTTCTTTTTCAATGAAGTCTTGTTTAATTTTTGAGGATCTTAATACTTTAGATCGCAGGGATTTATGGCGTAACACTGCATTCTTGTAAATACTTGGTGGTGAATCTGAAAAAAGTTATAATAATGAATGAATTGTAACAGAATTTTATCAGACGTACTGTTAGTACTATTAAGTACGTGGGAATTAGGAAATAATTTTAAGTGTTCAATTTTATTACCTAAAATAGATATAATATTATCTGATTTTTCTTTTGCTGATTTCATACTCATTGCCAATTTTTGTTTCTGTTGTTCCATTTGCAAAGAAGCATTCAATATGTCAAGACGATCTTTTGCTATGTTTTTTTTTATTTTTTGAGTTTTTGTTACATTATTAGAGGTGTTAGAAAGCGTACCTATACTTTGGTCTATAACGTTCAGGAAATCATATTTAAAATTAGATGAATTCACATTATGAAAATTATGAAATTACCTGTAGAATCAGAGACAGTAGATATATTCTTTCTCGTGCGTAACGAACGTCCTTCAGGTTCTGCATTATTTTTAACGTTTGAAAGAACTGTATTCGACAGTGATGTACCACTAGTACCACTACCATTTCTAGCAGTATTTCCACTTTTAGTAGAATAGACAGTGGCTGATGAAGTATTAACCTTTTTTGGAATAGATGCATTCTGTACGCTCGTTGAATTAGTATTAGTAGTACTTGTACTATTTGTATTACTACTTGTAGTACTTCCTGTACTGCTGACCCCAGTCAACAAAGATTGTTTAGTTGATTGACTTTGCTTATCTGAAGATTTGGACGAATTCGATTTCTTTGAAGCAGAACTTTTAGACTGTCTCTGTTGCATTTTTTCATAAACAGCAAGCATTTCTTCATTGTAAACCGAAACCGTATCTTTTTTGGATTTTGTTTGTGATTTTGATTTTGCTGTACCTGGTTTTGGAGCAACTTTATCAGTTTTTTTTACAATGGGTACAGACTTCTTGTTTGCATTCGCAGCTTTTGCCTGCTTTTGAAGTAGCTTTTCTCTAATTTCACGCATCTGAGGTGTATCCATTGGTTCCGTAGGAGCAACTGTCCTTTTAGCCCGGAGTTTCTTTCGTTCATGAGGCTTTGTCTTAGATTCAACATCATTTTCTGGTGTAGTTGGCCTAAGTAGACCATCCTCATCACCCTGTTCAGTTTTTCTTTTTTTTGACTGTAATGCCTGTTTAAAAACATTTCATGAAAACCTTGCATAAGTGATACAATGTAACAAATAGACAAAGAAGGTACACTGACGACGTAATAATACGTCATACATGCATATTGAAACGATGTCATACCTTGTTTGCTTTGTAGGGTAATGGTGACTCCCACGATGACTTGTTTGTACGAACATTAAAGTAGTAAACTCTGTTTGGATGTGTTTTAGAGGTGACTACTATCCAATCTTTTGGTAAACTAGGCTTCACATTTGTAGGTACAGCGGGCGACATAATGATTTTGATGTGCAATCCGTTATTCCTTATGTATAAGAAGTAAATAAACCTTCTTGATATTCGGTAATACACTTCTTTAATCTTCCAAATATTTTAAATTGAAATTCAATTCGAGAAGACACTATTCGACATTACTGTTCATCACTTCTGACGATTTTATCACATGCGTCATGGATAATAAAAACAGGAACCGCTCTTATTCCTATAACAAACATTTTCGTGTTCAGTTTAAGTAATGTCTCGCTAGTTTCTTGCTATATCAAACTGCTGAAGACAGTATCAATTTGTATTGTGAAAATGTATTCGATGATAAAAAAAAATTTCTTGTAAAACAAATTATTTAAAAAACTTGAAAAAATCATAAAATTATATTGGTTACGTGAACGTATTCGCTTAATACGTACCATTTTGAAGAGAAAGTGTGATTCACATTATTTATCAAAAGTTAAATTTTGTAAAACACCCGGTATATATAATTATCGCATGACGGTAAACACGTGGCCAAGATATGGGAAAGAATGGCCAGGTCGCGCCATAGATGAAGTTTTCCTTGTAAACTACAACATGGCCGTGTGACTTCTAAATTGTGGAACTCAATGTTTCCATGGCACACAAGTCTTGACCACGGGCTCGTTGATCGGGATTGTCGATCAACTGCTAGTTGAGTAGTATAACTAACAAGTTTTATCTATTGGTTTTGATTTGTTATATATTCGCATAAAGTGCCGTAGCATCTCAATTATTAGGTAAGACCACATAATTTATTACATGTTGGAGTACTGATAACAGATTATGGAGCACAATGTGTTTCTGTCATGAATGACAGTTTTATTTTTAACTTTGAATTACAATATATAACTGTTTTGGGCCTATGTTCCAGAATTGTACTCGAAAACAAAGAATGGCTCATTCTGATAGTGGTGCTTCTGGTTCTTCAGACTGCCAGATTTCTTATAAACAGGAATACGATTCTGATTTAGCACTTTTTACAGAAATAGATGATCCTACAAAATTATGGTTGAATTCACTTCATTACATCTGGGGACTGTGTATGTATATGGTGAAAGAAATGGTCATTCCATTATTTGAATGTCAAGAATTAAAAGGCGTTTTCTTTTGCAGGGAAAAAAAGTGATGGAATCACAAAAACATTAACGGATTACTTTGACTCAGCACCTAATCCTTATTTGAGCACTCTTAGAATCGTAGTGAATACTTCAGATTTCAATCATGTGAAAACTAAAGCTTCTCTAGCTTTCACAGGTTCATACAATCCATTTATTACTATTATGTGTTGTGCAGTGTGAAAAACCAATATCTTTTCTTTTAAAATAGTAATGGAGGAGTTTTGCAAATGGATATCCGTACGAAGAGACATATACACAGAATGTTTAGTTCCCGATTTAAAAGTAGTGGCATTCAAATTAGTTAGCAGACAAAAGAATATGCAGCTATTAAAAGTTGTCTGTGATGCTTATCAAGTTGTTGAGCATAAAGAGTTAATTCTTTCCATAGTACAGGTGCGTCATTTTCTCAAATTCATCTGGCATCAAAAATAAATTTGAATACTTCACTAACAATAATTATTGTTACAGGATGTGGTTAAAGAGAAAAAGTTCAAAGAAGCTGCACAATATGCAGCCATGTTACATCTCCAGTCATATTTTGCTGATCCCGAGACGATTCTTATGGCATTAGTTTTACAATGTAAAGTAACTGTGGTGGAGGATTTTCTTGCTGGCTGTCCAGACATACAAAGAGCTTTGGTAATGTACTTGGACAACTTAATAGCTCCTGGAAAGAACATGCAAAACATGTTAGAACGATATATCTGGTAAGTATACTTAATATAAAAATTATGTAAAATCCGCAAGATGTTAATCAGATAATTATTTCATAGCTCTCATGACATAACTGGTGTAAAAATGTCAACGATACAAGTCCGCCCAATGACTAAACTAGTTGCTCGCCTAACAAAAATATACAATCTTCCACCAGATGTATGTCCAAATCTAAATCAAAGGCGAGGCGAAGGTGCTCTACAGTTTCTCGTACATAAACGATTTATAGATGGTACTCTCAGTAAGTATATTTTTCATTATATAATTGTCCAATTAGCTTGGCATAGCAAATGCTTCTAGTGCGTATGTTACAGGCGGTGAAAGTTGGAGAGAAATGGTCAGAGAAGCCGTCGGGACGGACGAAAAATTACAATTAGAATTAGTGAAACAAGTGACACACATGGGCGACTTGGAGGAAGCGTTGTACTGGGCGAAAACTTATAATATACCTAAGCAAGAGTGGCCTTGGTCTCTCTCAGACATGGAGGAACAGAATCTCGGCCGTAAGACGATTGTGTATTTCGTTATCGTTAGATTTACGTGGCAAATTTGAATTTCTAGAATTTTTATCGGAACGTTTAGATGATGATATGGCAGCTAGTAATAACACTGAAGAGAATTGGGATATTCAAGAGGAATCGCAATATCACGTTTTAAGTCTACCACGAGACTGTATCAAGTTAGTAGACAATCCAAAAGCGTTTGAAGAATTTTTGGATGAGGGTTTAAGAGGTGTGACTACGGTGGGGATAGACTCTGAATGGAAGCCTAGTTTTGGTACATATATCTTCGAATACGTAGACCGATAGTAGAGATATTGAATCAAGCCAACAACTTGATTATCTTTCAGGTACAAAGCGAACAGAACTTGCCCTAATACAAATAGCTACAGAGTCCGATATTTTCATTTTGGATGTAACCACTATGGGCAATAATTTTACGGAGATGTGGACAGAACTCGGATTAGTTTTGTTCGAAAATAAAAGTATTGTGAAACTTGGTAAGAAAAAAAATTAAATGCGTTATCGCATTTAGTTGAAGATAACAAATTGGGCAGTAGAAAACCAAAAACTTACATTGCAGGCTTTGGTCTAGCACATGATGTGGCAATGATGCGAGAGAGTCTACCGGCTTTGTCTAATGTAAGGGCATGTGGCCAAGGTTATCTGGATCTGTTACACCTGTGGCGGAAACTAGTCCAGGAATATAATTTTCAATTCCCGTACAAAGGTGACGAGACATTTACGAATGAGAGTCTCAGTAAACTCGTAGAATTGTGTGTCGGTCACAGGCTCGATAAATCTGATCAGTTTTCCAATTGGGAACGCAGACCCTTGAGGGAGAGCCAAATTACGTACGCTGGTAAATAATACTATTCTCAGCAAACAGGTAACTTCAAAATTGAAAATCATTCGTTTATTCACTTTTAATTATAGCTTTAGACGCATATTGCCTGTTAGAAGTATTTGCTGCTCTTGGAACCCAAGCAGAACGAAAAGGCGTACCGTTTCAGGAAATCTGTGCCGAAGTGCAACACATCGCTCACAAATCTCCAAAGAAACAGTCAAAAAAGTCATCAGGGCACATGGTAAATGATTAAAAACGGAATACCTAGGATTAATCATGACTGATCCTATTATTTTATAATAACAGTCCGCTGCTGGAAGTTCTCATACATCTGGAGACGGTGTTGAGTTCGTTAATGAAACTCGTAATCGCAGAAGGTCAGATCATCGTTCCACTGCCATACCAGCTCACGAATGGCACGTTGTCTGTGATTCTATGCTAGGCGGGTTGGCAAGACAATTACGTATGTGTGGCTGTGATTGCATTTATGTAGAATATGATCGAGGAGGAGATCAATCTGCTAGGTTAGCAATGCAGGAGGACAGAGTTCTCCTAACTCGTGGTGGAGCATACCATAGAGTGAGATATTAATATTTATAGTAGAAGAGGAGAAGATATATCTATCATATACCTTCTTATAGATATACAAAAAAATAAAATTGTCTTATTACAGTTTGTACAATATGTTCCCCCTGGCAATTGCTACAGGGTCTGTTCGGATAGACCAGAAAATCAATTAAAAGAGGTTTTAAGTCGCTTCAACATTTTGGTTACCCGAAGGGACATCTTTAGTCGCTGCCAAATATGCAACCACGACGAGTTTGTTCAAGTTTCAAAAAACAGGATGAATGAGCTCAATAGAAAGTTAGTGAAAATTCCTAATTAGTCAATGATTATGCGAAAAGTCATATCATAGATTCTGTAACACTGTTATTCATTGATTGTTCAGTAACTCAAGGACCTTCCAAAGCAAGTTTTATCGCGTACCAGGTAATTCATCAATGAACATGAATACGAACGTGAGCACGAACATGAACATGAATATGAATTACTGCAGTCCTTCGGTATACGAGGTGGTAACTGATTACGAGCAGATTCCTAATGATGACTTTAGACCCCTCAAAACGAATCCAATACGCTACAATAACGATCGTACCTGGCATCTCAGTATCGATACAATAGACGTGGTAAACTGTACCACAAAATATGGAGTCCGAGTACAAATTGACCGAGTGCCAATAAATGTACTGAGAAACGTTCAACGTTTCTACGTTTGTGAGTATTGCGGTAAAGTATACTGGGACGGTTCCCACATGGAAAGAGCACTCAGCGTCGTTCTCAGAGACGTTATTGTTCGCGAATGATTTACGGATAACGTTTTTCCTTTTTTTTTTAATCATATCGAAATACAGGAAGTGTTTAAACAGGTCTGTCGCAAGGCACGATTGGACCTAAACACCAATTCGTTTTATTTAACGTGCCGAAGACGATTTATACGTTCCTGAAGTATGTATTACATTTTTTAAAAAGGTACATTAAAGAGGATGGAATGTTGAAAATAATTTATGAACTCATTACAATGTTTACCATGATTTAAAGAAATACTGTGCTCTTTACTGTACTAGTAGTGCAATTCATGTCATATCGCATTGCTGCCCGATTAGGGAAAATAATAAAAACGGGATATCGATTATTTCTACCAAGCTTCTTTATTTTGTTTATTGTGATCCGCAAAAGAGAGATGAATACGCATCTTCTTGATTGTTTGTAGTTCCAATTTTCTTTTCTTTCTTTTCCCTGCAAGTCATGACACAACGTCATAGATGTGTGTAGGAGAAAAGCATGATTGATTCTAGAAAAGACTCATAAGCAATCACATTTTTAAAGTGAAAAAAGCGGTCAATGAAGTTCTTGTTAATGCCCCATAGATATCAGTGAGTATTTTAATATTTGTTGCTGATGTGAGAATAGCTTTGGTATTTTAGAATATATGCTAAGTATGTATAGAAGCAGGGTTACTCGATGTATTAATTTTCGAACATTAAGTTTTGTACGGTTTATGGTCTAACCAAATCCCACATATGTTTATGAGAAGAGACCTGCGTTTAGAGTACAAGATCACGTTACTTTGATTTTTAATGAAATATATTTTAGTTACTCGAGTAATATATATGTATATATACATATATATATATATATATATATATATTATATATATGCAATTGTATCGAAATTCAATTCGGACACTTCGATAGAGCGATCTCGTATCGAGGCACGGGATAATCGAAACGTACCGTTTGAAATTTGTAGAATCGCAATAATGAATATTACTTTTTAATTAAGATATAAGGTCAAGAGATTTTTTATTCTCGCTGTTTTCGTATAGCGATAAAGGCATGAGAAAAAATTTCGTGTATACTGTCTTCAACTAGAGATTCTTAAGATGTCTGTTTTCATCCAAATAAAACTTCAATTCTTCCATTTCCTTTCATTTTTTATATTCTAATCGACCTACACTTCTAGGTAAAAAGGCGACACCCACGACTAGAATCACGCTTAACTTATAATTTTATTAAAATAACAAAGTACTACACGGTTGTCGGTTGCTCTGCTGGAGGTTCTTGTTCTAGAATTGAACTCTCAAAATCGGCTGGTTCCACAAACTTTTTGTTTTTAAATGGCGGTGGCCCGATTAGATTGACAACGTCTTCATAGTTTAGGGTTTCCTTCTTCAGTAGAGTCTCAGCAAGCTGTAAAATACAGAGCAATGGTCAAACGGAACAAAGAAGATAATATAAGAACTTACCAATTGCAATTTGTCTTTATTTTCCTGAAGAAGCTGCTCAGTTCTTCTGTAAGCCTTGCCTACCAATCTTCTAGCTTCGCCATCCATGAGGTTGCCTAATCTCTTGCTGTAGGGTTTTTTATTTTTCTATGAATTTCAACAAGTGAATATCTTAATTAGCTTCCAAAAATTTTAATATTATACTAGACCATCATTTTTAAGGTATTTTCGGTACATACGGCATTAGTAACTTCCTCGTCGAAGGAGAGTAAGCCTACATTCTCATTCATTCCAAACTGTTGCACCTGAGAATACGCCATCTTGGTTACTTTCTGAAGATCATTCTGAGCTCCTGTGGTTATCTTATTGAAAGTTAGACTTTCAGAGACGCGACCACCAAGTGCCATACACATCCTTTCGAACAGCTGCTCTTGGCTATAGAGCTTCTGATCTGTTGGTATATACTGGGCAAAGCCTAGAGCCAGATTAGTTCTTGGCACTATGGTGACCTTCAAGAGAGCGTCCGTATGCTCCAGTAACCATCCTACCAGAGCATGGCCAGCTTCATGATAGGCGACAATGCGTTTTTCTGCTGGACTCATTGCGTGATCTCTCTTCTCGGTACCACCTACCATTCGGTCTACTGCGTATGATAAGTCGCTGGAATCTACCACCTTCTTCTTGTACCTAGCAGCATGCAAAGCAGCTTCGTTGCAAACATTAGCTATATCAGCACCTGAGGACAGCAAATGTACATCAGGAATATTTATATTTTAAATCGACAGGTAGTTTCAGATTCAATACCGCTGAATCCTGGAGTGAGATAAGCTAATCTGTAAGAGTAGAATTCCGGTTTCTGCTTGAGTGCGATTCCTTTAAGGTGACGTTCAAAAATTTGTTTCCTCTCTTCCAAGGTAGGTAGGTCGATCAGTATGTGCCTGTCAAATCTACCAGGCCTCAGGAGAGCCTTGTCTAAGACTTCGGCTCTGTTGGTAGATGCCAGGAGGATGACACCCTCTTTTGATGCCATTCCATCCATTTCGACAAGAAGCTGATTTAAAGTCTGTTCAGATTCTCCAGACGAACCATCCATGGGACCTGATATTGTCCCGGAGCGTTTCTTACCAATCGCATCGATCTCGTCGATGTAAATAATACAAGGTGATCTGTGGTAAAGACAAGTTGCATACGTTTTGTCTAAGGTGATATTCACATGCTTTCGTACCGTTTTTTGGCTTCTTTGAACAAGTCTCGCACCCTGGCGGCGCCTAAACCACCGATCATTTCAATGAACTCAGAACCATTCATTGAGAGAAAGGGAACATTGGATTCGGTAGCCACAGCTTTGGCTAGAAGTGTTTTTCCACATCCTGGTGGTCCCAGAAGTAAAGCTCCTGAAGTAACGGTCAAAGGTAAACGAGGATTAAAAACTGTATTCACTGTGCATCAATTATTCTTGACGTACTGATTACGGCTAGAGACCTTTGGGCACTTTAGCGCCAAGAGATTTGTAGTGCTCAGGATGCTTTAGGTAATCAACAAACTCCATAACTTCTATCTTGGCTTCCTTGAGGCCTGCTACATCCTCAAAATGCACACCTTTTCCACTACCCGTTAACGGATCGACTAAGGTAAATTTGGCGCGAGTCATCTGACCCAAAAAGTCAATCGGTCCTCGAAGTCCACGAGAACGCATTAATACAGTGATGACAACACCCAACGCTATGAGATATAATACCAACTGCGCAAGAAGTTCTTTCTTGCGTTCATACACAATTTGTACGTATTGATCTACAAAACGAAACTGTAGTAAGTGAACCCTGGGATATGAGTGAGTATTTTTTAGTTTAAAAGAATCTTACCTGGTTTTATACCCAGACTTCGCTCAGCTTCCCTAAGCTTCTCTTCGAAATTAACTACATCCGATACAATCATATGATATATTTTGGACTTGCTTCTTTTACCTTTAATAACAGCACCATCATATAAGACTATTGTCACCACATCATATTCTGGTCTTACAATCAATTCTTCTACTTCCCCTTTAGCTAACATGTGATACAAGAATTCATTCCAAGATACAAATTTCGAACCCTACACACAATGAGAATAGGATATATAAAGATGTATGAGGAAGAATTAAATATTGAAATATGTTTCTACTGTACCTCAACGTTTTGGCGATTTGAACCTATGAAGAACATTAAAAATGCTATTGTTATGTACATAAATAATGTCCACATTGATAACTTAATAAAAAGTGCTTTTAATTTTTCTTCGTTCTCCTTTTTTTTCTTATCATTTTCAGAATCATTTTCGGGTGTTCCTTTTGCAGACTTCTCTGCATTGGATGGATTTTTAGGCTTATTTGCAGGGGTACTAAAACTTCTTTGTCCTGTGATTTTTGAAAACTCTGTTACAATTCCAAAACCACTTCTTTGAAGTAATGAGCATACAGCTCTATACTCCCTATGAAATTGTTTGTATGCCTAAAAGAAAAATCTTTTACCTATAATCTCCGCAGTAAAATAATGCATAGAAAATTACAAAAAACAATCAAGTATTACATGGTATGATACTGGATGAATCAGTTTATGTGCTGGACCATTCCTCAAATACTTCAAACCTCTACTCAGCAGTGCTCTATGCTGAATCGCTGTTCTAGCATGTGTACCACAATTCAATAACAGTCGAAATATATTTCCAGGAGCAAGCAAATGTCGATTAGAGCACGTGGCCAAGTTCTGCATGATGCTCCTAAAGTGACAATACTTAAATATAAATAATCAGAACAATTAACACTGTCCATGGCACACAGAGGTTAGGATCAAGAATCACTTACAACACTGACTTTTCAAATAAATCACCAATGATACTTTACATCTCATTTCAGAAATATAACTCGACAATATTCCTTATATTGTTGATGCAATATTACGTCTCTTCATGCAATTCGTTACGTAAATTTACTTATGCTACCCGTTATACGGTTCTCTCCAACATCCATTGTGGAAAAGCAACGCAATGGTAAACGCGCGAACGTTCGTTCACCTACGCGGAGAAGTAGCAGAAGTATCTCCCTTCTGCTCTACCGCATCCAACGAGAAATACCTACAGAGATAATATTTGTCACTGTAGTTATCGATAATCGGAAAAAAACTAATCATAAACCATCGATAGAACAAAGGCAACGCAATAATTGCATCAGTTGTAAATACGAGTAGTCCATTACATATATCTGTTCAAAATAAATACTATAGGCACCATGATATTTATACACGGTAAACTCAAAATCTTAAATGAAGTCACAAAATATCTAATCAATTAAGGTGGTGGATTAATCTATAGCCTTTACAGGTAAATCTTTAAAAGTATAAATTGGAGTTTAGAGTAATCCCATAACCCTTAACTAATCACGTATCATTTCTTATACAAATTGATGTGCTGCAAGATCTTTTATTTTGCAATCCAGCTATACAAAAACAAACGATCTTAAAATGTACAAATGGATTTATCTTAAAAACATAACTTATAAATGTTCAGATAGCACCGCTTGGGCATGAAATATATCTAGCATTCAGAATTCCAATATAGAAGTCGCAATCTACAAAGATACATTTAATAAGGAAGTTACAACTATAGTCAAAGGGTTGTTGCCTTCTCAGTCGATCAGTATCGGTAAAGAATAAGACCAAACAGAAAAAGATATGGAGAGAAGTAGAGAAAGACAAGATATGGAAGCCAGCAGGAATATTTTTACTCCGAGCCTGTTAACTACACTCTGTTATTCTATCTCACGTACGCGGCTTTCCCACTACCACACTCGTAAACTCGCTGGAATATAAGTTTTAAGGCGTGTTTTGATAGCGTCAGGGTGTGTCAGCCAGGGCTTCCTACCTAATGGATCGCTTCTTCGTTGCGTCCGCGCGTCCCGAAGTGTATACCGTCCATGATACCCCGAAAACATTAAATTCACAGGGCGACAAGAAATTCCCGTAGACAACGCCATTCTAGTATGTCATTTTCATGGCAGGATTTCGCTAGAGGATAACGCAGAGCGACGTTTTCATTTGAACAACAGCGTTCCGACGCCTATCAAAACACTCTGAGGTCCTCCTGAATTAATTGCTTCACGATGGTCATCCTATAGCACTGGACACCCCAGACAACTTTCCGCGAATCAACTAAAGATGATAAGCTCGGGAGTGTCCAGAATGACGATGAGATGCAAGCCTTGTCAAGGTACCCGAGAAATTAATGACTTCTGGTGGATGATGGTACGTAGTGCTAAGGTCAAAAAATGTACACCCATACTCTCTTGCAGCGAAACGAGCACGGTTCTCGCGCAAGTCGAAAGCCTCGAGAGAGAGACGGCGCTTCCAAGTCAGAGTCTTCGCGGACGTGTATTTATGTGGAACAATATTTGTGTTGGCTTTAAAAAGCATGAGCGAGATCTCACCGTGTTCCTATTGCCAGGGCGAAGCCGATGCGCGAGGACGTTGTCCGTCGTCAGTTTAGCATCCTACATGTCTTTGGCACACAGTTACGTCCTCGACCTGGGCTTTGGACATTGATTCGTCTTCGCTGAGTTTGCATTAGTTTTCAAGATTTCGTTTCTAATTATCTAAATTAAAATCTAAATTAAAAAAAGTCTTAATTTTTTATTTTCTAGAAAGCACAAGGTGATCAGCGTTTTTTGACTGTTCTTTCATCTCGTGAAACTCAAGACAGAATCACATGAAATTGTCGATCACAAGTGATCCTATCTAAAGCAAGCCGAATCCGTCCAAAGAATTTCAGTAGGTATAAACAAACGAATCGAACAATTTGTTTTTATACGCTTCCTAAGTAGCTGGATGGCTGGCACGCGTATCTTACGAGCACACAAACAGAAAAGCGCCGCCGCGGAGCGAGACGAAGCGACAAAATCATTTATTTTGTTAAACAACAAGCTATGTTGTGTTAGGTTTGCCAAAATAACCAAAACAATACTCGTTCGTTTCGTCGCGTACGCGCTCATTCACGGGCCAACGTTCCAAACCCATTCATCCTTTTGCTCTATGACCGTGAAAATCTGCTATGAATCTCCATGACACGTAATACTTAAATAATTTCAGATCTTTCATAATCGGAGACTTTTGTCTGTGTATTCATTTCCATGGAGATGTCATACACACCCTTTTACCGTTGGGACATGCTCTAATCGATCGACTCTAACGAAGCACCCTAATTAAAACCGTCCCCTCAAGTACAGAGGTTCTCACCTCATAGATTGTTATGCTCCCATAAAATGTACCTATAGGACAAAATCTATAGTAAGAGCATAGGGGAAGTAACGGGCATCTCTTGTTATTACAGATGCTGGTTCATTCGGGTATACAGGGGTGTATTTCAGTCACAAAGAAGCCAGGGAGCAATCCGGAAGAAAACGGCTAATTTTCTTCAGCACTCAACAGACATCCAATCGGCAACGATCGAGATTGGTTGTACGGATTTTCCAATCTGCCAAAGAAAAGTGAACGGGATAAGATTGTCTGAAGAAAGGTGTCGGGATATAACAGGGTGAATGCGTGGCAGTGCTGTCATCGTCGTCGTCCTCGTCGCCGTCGGCACCCATAGTACGTGGGTCCGGGAAAATCCCGAAAAGCAATAATTTCGGTGAAAGAGTGGGATGTTTTCTTTACGGGCGGGAATGTGCGGTACGCGTATACTCAAGTATAGAGAAAGGGCAGGAGAAACTGAAGGAAAGCGAGAGAACGGATTGAGAAAGAGGGTGGAAGCTTTGAATAGAGAAGAACGAGGAAGAGAGATATAAAGGGAGTGAGAATTCGAGCTGGAATAACATTGGGTGACGGTGGCATTGTCACTCCCTCATCGCGTTCCCCGTGCAAGCCAGTCTTCCTTGAGTTTCTCTAACCTATCCCGTCCTAGGCTTAGATACTCGAGAGAGAAGTAGACGGTTCGAAGGGCAGAGAACGAAGGACCGAGGGATGAAACAAAACCCCGTTCTCACTGGCTCCTGCTGGCTCCCTAAATGCGGCCAATAAAAACAACACCCCTACGCGCACACAACTGTCCCGGTCCACTGTGCGGACCGACATGCTGAATTATAAAAATAACAGACCGACCCGATCGAACAATTGGCCGATTCAATTCCTGACGCTCCTCGTGGAAAGGCGACCCATTGTCGGCTGCAAAAATCCCCACTTTTCTCGCACCATTCCGATGTCCTTTACACGTCTATTCTTTCATTTTACGTTTCCTGATTCTACCGTCGCCTCTCGTTTCTCCTGTCGACCTGATATCCTTTGAGAATTCGACATCTTCCGTTCTCCAAAAATTCCAAAGCCCAGTGGAGCCCTTCACACTCTTCTCAAATACCATAGCCCCACTGTTGTAATTAACATATAAAAATTTCGTTACTGCATTTACCAGGACGTTAAAGTGGTTATAATTTTCAGGGTCGCACCCGTTAAAATTCGAACGGTGCAGTACTGATGTGACGTCTAATGCTCTTGCTGTCTTTATGGGTCCTATATGGTATCCCATGATTTCCCGAGACCCTCGTCACCACGTACATCCTCTGGAGAGACGGGACTGCGAGGAGACGCGAGCTCGAGGACTCGAATGCGTCCGCACGGTGAAGTCAAAGAGATAAAATCTATAAATATGTGGGAGGCGCACGCGACCCATTCCAGTGTTTGTTCAACCAGGAATAACTCCGTTTCTTCATCGAGCCAAACCGAAAGAGTCTGGTTTTGTGGCTTAACGCAGTCTAACTCCGCCATTACTTGCATCCTTCTTCGGTACTCCTTGCAGATCTACCTGAGATCGATTTATGAGGTAACAGCCCAAACTTTTAACAAAGGCATATGAGTATAATCATACAGAGGGTAGTTTTACATACTAAACATCCTACATTCCAGGAGGATCTTCTTCAAAGTCCTGTGGAATCTAGTTCCGTTCGAGATGCAATCAAGCCTGGTAAACCATATGGACACAGCAATCCTTAAAGTCCTTCACCGAATTCTCCTAGTGCATACTCGAAGCTCGTCTATCAAAATGCCTAACAGGGAACGGCAGATCTTCAGGAAGAAGAACCCTAACGACGCGTGACATCTGAACCCCCAAGTGTTCACGGTTCTCACCCAAGTTCGTCCATAATATTAGCTATTAGTAATTTAATTATCAGCCACTGATAAATCTTAAATATTATATTACAGCTATACGATCATAACCTGCAGGCATCAGCTATAAAGAAGACAATCAACTTCCATGAATCTTATATTGTCAACCATAACCAAAAGCCATAGAAGATCGAGTGGAATTCGGGCAATTTGTCGGCAAGTCCCTGGCGAGACTGGAACCAAAGTTAGTTAGCCGCTTGGCCGTCACCAGGATGCAAGTTAGTTAGCGGTAAACACACCTCATCAATCTTCCGCGCTCGCTCGGCCGTCGTCGTCGTCATGTGGGGGGCCCCGGTTCCGTCAGTGCGGGCATCCGAAATACACTCTACACGTGTATCCATTAAACTGCTAGTATCCATCATCCAAAGAGAAGGTATTTGAAAAATTGCACTAATATGAAACATGATTATTATATAAAAATTTATCTTAATTTCACAGAATTCATAAAACCACATGCTTCAAGCAAGCATAAGCACACTTGGAAATGCATAGAGAAAAAGCAGATGATACTATGATAGAGAAATCATGATAAAACTCATGGAAAGTTCGTAGAAGCTCGTATTAAAGAGGCCGCCATACTTGACATCCAACAGGCAGCCAATGGAAGGGAAGTGAAGGGTACCGAAGGGTAGAGAAGAGAGAAGGGACGGAAGAGAAAGCTTTTGGTCCTCGAATGCCACACCTCCCCATTGTGACCACATATCGACCGAGTCACGGTGCTCCTGGCTGGGGATACCCTCGGGAACAACCCCACGTTAGGTACCCCTTCGCATTCGACATAGTAGGGATGCTCTACTAGGTGGACAGGTACCTGGTGTTCAGTGAAGTCGTATATCGAGACTATGGAA